AATTTATGACAGCCAGTTGCCTGTACTTTAAAGATACTAGTATTAATATTGCACAGGAAAATACAAATTTTCAATTTTTAATAAGTAGGATTTTTATATATTTTAAAATCTCAAACTTTTGCATAAAAAGATTTTTCTTTTGCCAGATGTAACATCAAATGTCTTCTTTTATGATTTGCATTTTTTTAAAATTGTAAATTACAATTTATTACAATGTTTTTATACAAAAGTTTTTTGTGAGCAGAATCAGTCAGCGCAGGATTTTCCGCACTATACTGATACTAATTGTTTGCATCAACTTTTGTATTTGTAGTAGGAAAGGAGAAATGCACGAAGAAAACGTATGGCTGGACCGGGAATCGAACCCGGGACCCCTGTATTACTAGTCAGGTGCTCTAACCACTGAGCTATACAGGCCGATATCCACGGTCCGTAAAGCCCGAACTTCTACATATTTTTACATGTATCTCAGTCTTTTTCACAAAAACAAGCCTAGCTCATAAGAAACATAAATTTTAGCTCTTTCCTATTTGATGTTGCACTTTATATATAGCTATCATTCATTGATATTCATGATCAGCACTGATGGAGGAGAAACATTTTATAAAGATAAAAACATTGATTTTGAGCCATTTAAATGCACCTTTAGTCTATATCATTTGCCTTCAATTCTTAGAATCTGCCTAATTTCTTACAACACATTCACTTTACCTACAAAGTGATGGAAGCTTAATTTGGACTGTGTTGGTAAATTGTTGTAAACAAAATCAGTCAGCGTGGGTTTTTCCGCACTATACTAAATCTTATTGTTTGCATAAACCTCACATTTTTTCTTGTACCATATCCTACAAAAGTAGGTCCACATAAATAAACAGTTTGCAGCTCTCCCTAAAAGCTGATGCAATTCAAGAAAATATATTTTTTATATTCACAACTCAAATGAAAGGATTTACAAATGTTAGAAGGTTCATTATAACTTTTCCACAATCTTAAAAATTCTTAAACAGCTGGGAAACTAGCTTTCATTTACCTCAAATAACTAGTATTTTTATTATTATAGACTCTCTTTAAGTTCTCCCTTTGTTATAATCAGTAAGTGCTGGCTTTTATGCAGCATACTGATTTAAATATGTAACAGTTGCTTTGATTTAAAAAATTTAGTTCAATTGATATGTACAGTGTTAAAAGTCCTTTAAGGCAAACAAAATATCAGAATTCCATGTGATATAATTTTTACCTGTACATAATTACGTATGTTGCAATTGTGAAATTCACCTCTCTGTTGAAGGGATTTGCACATTTCTGCATGAAATGCTATATGGAATCTACACTTCAATTCATACTGGATTATAACAACATGGACCTAAAGTCATTAGCAATACACTTCATACTGGATATAGACATAAAATATCTTTTTTTAACATTAATTAATGTGGAATTACACTTTCTACTGGATTGAAAACATGGAATATCTCCCATTATCATCAACTGACTCCTTCAACTTGCATATTTATTGTATAACACAGTGACACTATTTTTGGACTCACAAGTCTACATCATCTTCATCTTGGATTATTATTTTTCGGATTATTATAAAAATGACTTCTACAAGTTTTCCTCATCAGGGAAAACAAACTACCTCTGAAACAGAATTATGACATCAACCTTCAAGAGTCAGCATATACAGTGTACTTGATGGAAATAAAGAAACAGACTATAGATAGAGTTATCCTTCCTAATGGTAATGTTTTTTTTTTACTTTATATTGGATTACCTCCCGTAGAAAATGGTAGGTCACAGCTTCTACTTTTGACGAGGTAGGGTGTGCATGTGGTTATTTTAATTTCTACAAAACAACCAATAAAATTTCGTTTCATATTTACTTCTAAATGCAGAAAGGAAAGTAAAAATGAACATTTGATCTTTCAATTCTTCTATTTATTTTTTAGGGAGAATTGCTAGTATGGTAACACAAACAACTTTTGCATCAAGTAAAGGCTTTATCATTACAAATGCGGGAAAAAGGATGATCTGATGTTTGGGAATTGTTTTGGTAACGATGCCAAGTTGGATTTGGGTACCTTGATCGTATAACAATACCAGACGGCCATTTGCTATTACGATTGGGCTGGTATATGGAGGAAATTCGGGTTTGTACATTACAACGAAAGAATATCCATGAAATAAACATATACAATGAATTATAAAGCATACATTAATGACATACGATAATTGGTAATATTCCCATGATATCTACAAATAAATTTACGATACATAGATTAAATATTCAGGGCATAAATTGGGGTGATCCAATCTGTGGGTTATTTTGGTCATGGGGGAAAATTCGTAACAAACAGGAGAGAGATTGTTGATGGAAAAATAAATCTGCAATTCCTCTGCTATGAACTTTTTAACATGTAATTTTCGTTCAAACAAATATAACTTATTGAGTGAATTTAATTTAACCCCGAATAAAAATTCAAGGTGTGTGAAAATGATGCTAATTGTGCTTAGATTTTAACCCTTACCATGTCATTGTTTCTCGAAGTTTATAATAAAATGTTTATTTCCTCACTCTAGATTTTAAAAAAACAACAACAACAGTTTGCTTAGGGTTTTCTAGGAACATAATATAATTATTTTTATCATTACTTGATTAATTTTCCTGTTTTTTGCAATAATCTTTCCTGAAACGTAATAACTCCAGAAACCTTTGATCTTATTTTTGTATACTTCGAAGCTTCTCGTTGTGCGCCTCTTCCCTTAATGTAATATAAAATTAAAATTATTGTCATTTCCGTCATGGGCACTTCATTGATAAGTCCATGAAAAGGAAACTGCAAACGCAGTTATCATCAAAACTAATCTTTAAAATACATTTGCAGTTGAAACATTTATTTGGACTTGGTATGACTTTTAATTTTATATCATACAAGCAATCCTGTGTCACAACATAACATGAAAACACATTCTTTTCTCTCTGAAATACGACTGATCTGGTGCGGAGACGGCTTTGTTTTGATATTCTTCATTACGAGTTTGCAGCCGAGGATTATGAGCAGAGGTGAATGTGTGAATAATGGAAAACGGTAAACATTTTCTTTTAAATATAGAGCTTTAAAATTTGTTTGAGAAGTATTGTAACCTGAACAGTATGTATGGTGTAAACAACCAGGGCGATTATTTATGTATGTATCTTAAATTACATGTCAAAAGCAACAAAAAACAATGCTCAAAGAATATTCACATTTGCACTTTTCATGGACAAAACAACGAATTTGACATAGACTAAAACAGCTTCAATATTAAAATTGAAGCCAGAGCACCTTAAGATTTTTCTATGATATATTCTCTCGAACAAGAAAAAGGTTAAAGAAAACGAACACAGTAATCAATGTAATTAAAATTCACAAACGAAACAAGTCTTTGAACACGGGTCCTTGGTAATTCCATTGGAGGATTAAGGTGCTTTGGAAAGGTAAACACCCCCTGTTGAACATGCAGTCACATCCACCTTGATAATTCCATTGGCGGAATAAGGTCCCTAGGAAAGGTAAGCACCCCCTGTTGAACAGTCACACCCACAGTGAGCCCTATGTATTGATCAAGTAGACGAAACATTCCGTAGTAAAATTTAGTAGGAAAATGTATTCTTTGAATTGCTATGAAGCAAGTCAGTCAAAACGTTTGTTTGGGTAGCCTGTCTTGGTTTTTAGATTGTTCGTACTTGAAGCATGCTCTGGAGTATCGAATACGTTCTGAGAAATGAACACCATATGCATATTGGAATATTACGATACATACATAAGGAAACGTGACTATGGATGGGGGGAAGGATTAAATCTAGTACTTTAGTTACAACATTTAGTTGTGAGATGGGTTTTTTCGTCCCTAGTCTGTAAAACAAGGTGAACAATACACAAAGTGAAAACAAAGACATTTATTTATGTCTCTGGTGAAAATGAGTTCTAAGAATCGTATGAAACAGGTCAGTCAAAATAAAACCCAGTTATAGGTCATATTATTAAAGAAATACTGACTTTAAACGAGGTTGATGGAATCCCTTTTACGTCAACTTATCTGTCTGTAGCCTGCGTCGGTTTAAAATTGATCGTACTCGGAGCATGCTCTTAAGTAGTGAATACGTTTTGATACATATAATAATAATGATAATAAACCCCCAAAATTGGTTAATAATTTTAATATTCTTTCCAACTGTTTTTCGTAAGACTGTTGCGTAGTTTTAACTGAGTATCCTGATTTTGTTTCAACATCCATCTTCATTGACATAAGTGATCAATACAAATTTTACTGAATTATAATACATTAATTAATGTTTCATAAGAACCAACTCTCATTGAAAGAAGGAAGGAAATAATAAATACACATGTTCAAGTGGGAAGGATAAAAATAGAAGGGAAATCATGTTAGGTCTCAGCAACTATAATTTTCCTTGAAATAATCTTGCATATTTCCAAGAAATAATAGGGATCATATCAGTAACGTTTACTAATATTATGTCTAAATAGACTTACGTTTTTTTAAAATACATTTTCTGCTGTTTTCTCCATATCCATGTACCGTTAACCACCGTTAAAGAAAAATATTAAGCAATCCTTTTAGGCAATATCTATATAGTCAGGTACAAGGCATAGAAACGAGCATCATATATTTACTGCGTTAAAAAAAGTTAAGCTCATACCTGGTAGACTGCAAAAAAAAAATCAAATGGCTTTAAAAATAAATTTACAAAATTGTGCCAAAGTGGAAAAAAGAAAACGGGGTAGGCCTATTTGTATCAGTTAATGATAAATTTGGTTGAAAAATGTGATATTATCTAACTTTAAATTGCCTGTTTATTTGGATTTTCTGTTAATTAGAAGGTCAAACTTTATTAATCGTAAACAAAGATCACAATGTTAACAGTAAAACAGTACAAGTTTTTAAATGGTACGGATTGCAGTTACGGACTTTACACAAATATTGCAGTTTAGACATGGATTAATTTTAACTGTGCAATTCGAATATTCCGGAAATTAATAATCTTTTGTCCAGTGTTGATGTAAAATTTGTGCGAACGTTTCCGTGTTAACCACTTCATCAGGATACAGCTCTAAACTGCTCAAATTAGAAAACTCATAAATGTAATTGATTCAAGTCAAACATAAGTATTTTGATTAAACATTTGAATGGCACTAAGGAATTTCGAAAATGGAAAATATTTTGTATTTTCCTAAGAGACTGTTTAATTCATGGCGTGGTAGAAATGTGGGTTTGGCATTGTTGGTTATCACATTAAATGCAGAAACAGTTAGTAAGGGAAACTGTGTAAACGATCGGTACGTAGAAGCAGGGTATGTACTAACATTGATAAAGAGGGTAAACTATACATGTATACTTAACTATTTTGAGAAAGGTTGGTATTGATTGTCTTATTTGTAATTGAAAAAGAGCTATTTTATTTGGCTCATATGAATCATTGTCTGTTAAAGTGTAAATTGATACCTTTAAAAATAAAATAGTTCGCAAAATCATGAAATACAAAATTTGCATTGCAATGGTTCTGTTTTAGAGGAGAGTGCTGTACAAACTTCTATCCGAGCAATGGTGAATGTATTGGTAAGAAAGATTTAAATCCAAACGCTTCACTTTTTGCACATTTTAGACAATAAATTAAAAAAATTTCTTTGATATTTGTCTGAGATCTTAAATGAACCTTTGAATGCAGATTTATGACTACATGTAATTTACATGTTCATCCAAAGCATTATTACAACAAATAGTTTGTGCATCTTTTTTCTGCTTGATTATAGCCTGTCCCGCTGGATCTTATGGAGACAACTGTTCGACAACCTGCCCTTACCCGTCCTACGGGGAGAACTGTGGTCACCAGTGTGATTGTAGTCCCGGGGAGGAATGTAGTCCCTTCAAAGGCTGTGTCAAGATAACTACTGGTAAACATTTGAAAGACTTACATCAAACGTTTTCAGATCGTCATCTTTACTGATATTTTGTTTTATTAGAAAGAAAAATGACGGGTATACTAGCATATGAAGGGCAAACACGGTGGAACATACGATTTAAACATTATTCCACGGAAATATTTGCTTTGGAAAACTGAAATTAGAAAACACGTCCGAAATTCTACATATTAATATTATTTTAGTGAGGGGGGCAAAAACTATGAAGTATTTCAAATTAAAAATATTAATATCTAGTTTTTTTTGCCAGCACCTCCTCCGTCTACAGCCAATCATCGCAATTCTAATACAGAATCCATTCCTAACATAAGTATAAAACCAGGAAAAGACAAGAAATCAACACAGAATTTTAAGGCGGAAACAAAGCATGTAACTGACAATTCAAAAATAAACTTGGAAATTAGATCAACCGTTTCACATGGAGATTTTGTCAAGACTACAACAGAAACAACTTCCGGCAATTCACAAACCATGCTGGTTATCATAATTACAGGTTCTGTGCTGTCTTTATTTCTAATTATAATAATCATTAACCAGATTCATGGAAAATTAAGAAAACAGAGGGAAAGAAAGTCCACCAACAAGAAATCTAATCCAGAGGTTCCCAATCACCCAGAGGAAGAGGCGTATGTAGAGATTAATGAAAGTGGATTGTTGGGTAATATTTCAAACTATGACAAAATGGAGTCCCAGTCATCAGTAAAACGTCTGAAAAGAAATGACGAAATGTTTGAAGTCATCAAAGATGATGTTGCCAAACCCATGCTTCCTGGAGGGAGAGATCAACTTATTGAAATTAAATCAAAAGATTCTATTGTTGAAGAGGGTCGATGTTTAGGAGATGAACATCCGTCATCCTATCTAGATGTTATATCTGTAAACCCAAATGAAAGTCCAGATAATTCCTACCTGAAACCTGTTGGCAAAATGAATGTATATACAGGTGTGATTGGTTCACCACCCAAAGAATTGACACATAGTGAAAGTAACATTAGTAATGAAAGTAAAGGAAGCCATGACAGCAATTCTGTTTGTATCAACGGGCAACGCAGTCTAGAAGGCACTTACCTTGAAGTTGTCCATCAGTAATTGTCCATTTTCCTCTTTAATTTAAATGATAGAGCTGAAAAATAGAGATTAAAAAACCAAAAGTTCTTAGATAAATAAAATATTACTTTGTGATAATTACAAATTGACTAATTAAAGAGTTATTTACCTTACTGGGCTTTTGTTATTACAAAGGGTCACTTGAATGATAGATATTGATACACTTAACAAAGCTTAAAAACCTATTGATGAATCGCTATTTGTGCGTGTGGTCAACAAAAACATTTTTTTAATTAATCAAAAATGAAAAAAGTCCATTGACCAAAAAAATTAAGAAAAAAGTGAATAAATTTATATGATTTGTTGTAAAGTTTGAAGTAACATGTCAACAACAATTCTCTGTAATATTCTAGTTTAAATGAAATCATTTAATTTTATTATTATTATTTTGCTGCTGTTCTTCGCTTGATAAGGTCAATTAACTGCCTTTGCTGTTACAGCGTTTCCAGGAACAATTTTATAAATGTCTTCAGCTGGCTTCACGGAAGTAATTTGGAAGGTGAAGATAAAGAACAGCGATCGATCTAAAAAAAAATAAACAAAAACAAAACTCCATAAACAATACAATATGTTAAGAGGGCATAAAACGTGAACTGCTGGAAATTGTGAGATCACGTGCATAGGAGGATTAAAGGATCTCCCGCTCATACCAACCATAATCTGGACATAATTACATTAATTGATCAAGTAATATTCAATAGTCAATAGTCTTAATCAGTGAAAAGGAAGGGCCTATGAAACAAGTCTGTAATCATATGATCCAGTGATAGGCTATATTTTCTTAGAAGATAACGACCAAAGTTTTCACAAAATTTCGACTTTAAACATGGTTTTGAAAATCCCTGTAACATGAACTTATCGGTGAGTAGCAGAAAAATTGCTCGTACTCAGAGTAAGCTCAAAAGTAGCAAATAGGCTTGGAGAAATCAATACCACATATGATAAGCAGGTGAACGTCAAGCGCGTAGCCAGGCGTACGTTTGTACGCAAAAACGTCCACATCACTTTAAAAAAAAGGAAAGAAAGAAAAGAAAGAGAGGAGAGGAGAGTGAGAAAGGCGTAATATTGTAAAGCGTACCCATCATTTTTGCAAAATATTAGTAAATAATTTCAAAATAAAAAAAAATAATTAGGAATATTAAGAATTAACGATAAAAAAAATAAATGAAAATCAACAGAATCAGTTTTAGGGGAAAATACGATATTATACACCTCACTGAAATCAAAAGATTTCCCCGGACTTCGGTTTACTATCGAATATTGCTGATTTTTTCCCAAGTGTAATTACATTCTTAAAGAGTTTCTCTATTGTAGATGTCACACAATAAATGCTTCAAAAGTCTAAAATTGTTTTAGTGGGTTTGCTTTTGGACAGATCTTTTCTCATTTTTGAGTGACTGTCCGCATTTTGTACAAGGAAAGAACAGACCTTAAATGTGGCTGCATAACAAACTGAAAAAGTGCCAGAAAAATGCTATTAGAAAGGTCAAACATGCACATCGAAATCGTCGAAAATTCACCAGCTTCCGCGGGCTTCGCCCTGGACCCTTTGGGGACCTTATGGCGGCCCCCAAACCCCAGTCTATCCAGGCGTCCACATCAAATGTACCCTGGCTACGCCCCTGAACGTGGAATATCACTAAAGAAGTAGGGAAAGTGGACGATGGAAAGCGGTCATCTCGCTTGTCATTAATTTTTGTTTTTAGTTGGCCTATATCGTCTACTGTCAGTAAAATTTCCAAAATTTAAACAGTTATGGCAGACTCTGTGGTAGAAGCAGGATAAATTGAAAAAGAAAATGGAACAAATGGAACTGATTTTTATACTCAATAGTTTTCATTTTAATTTGGGCCAAATAAAATTTCGAAACAAAGTAAATTGCATTTAACTCAGACCAGAATGAATTTCCATTAGTTCGTTTTGCCAAGTGTTACAATAAAGTTTTGCTAATTAAGAAATTCAAAACTATCTATAACAATTTTTGTTATAGATAGTTCTGAATTTCTTAAATTGCAAAACTTTAATGTAACACAAGCACATGTGGTGGAGTAATAAAAAAATAAAACTTTGTTTGCAAGTTATAATTCATGAGCTCCATTGTTTCGTCGGTACGGTCATGTGACATTTTTACAATACTGCTTGAGACACAACAGGAAGATGAAACTTTTTTTTGGATTTTTTAAAATGATTATTATCATTGAGGATATCAGAAATCTATAATCACATGCATTCTATTTATTGAATACATGTTTGGGGAAAATACATGATCTACTTAAGTGTTTTATGAAACTTTCAATTATCTGATACATATCAATGATTTCATTTTGTATTAGATGTTTTCCGGTCTGTTAAAATGGCATTTAATGCAAAACCAAACGAATTTAAAGGGGAGAGCGGGATATGTGGATCGCTAGAGTAAGTTGTGATTTCATTTTGGGCATTCAATTTGACCAAAGATGTCTTTGCTTATTAGTTCTTTTACGTACACCTTATATACACTTATTAAAAATTGTTGCCAAATATTGTGATTCAAATGTTTGCTTAAACAATAGAAAAGTATAATTGAAATGATGACATTATGGCACTTCACATAAGCGGATTTTTCAATATTTTTTTTTAATTATAAAAGAATATAATTTAAATATAGTATATGTCATAAGTTATAGTCATGAAAATGTGTTGGTAGATGCAAACCATACGTATATTTCTGTTTTATTTTTATACTTCCAAAAATTATCACAGGTTGTCTTAAAGGTTCATGTAATTGTTCTGTTTAAAGTCGCATACAATATAAAGTCTTAATAACAATTCAATGAAAATTGTGGTTATTCAAATTGTTACTAGGTATTTTGCAAGTTATTACCTCAGATATCATAATAAGTGTTGTTTTTGTTTTTTTGTAAATATAAATAACAAAAGGAAAGATATAAAGAGATATCTTTATTTTATAAAAATAATTATCTAAACATATTATCAACAATAATTTTACACTTTGATTGTAAAAAAAAAATATATTATTATCCAACATTCAAATAACAGCACCTATGTGTACAAACAAGAATGCAAGTAAAGGAATATTTCTATATCAATATTTTATGGCAGATGCTACATTCTTAACATTAATCTAGAATGTGTTATTCCCACATCATTGTTGCTTTACAAGTAACATTGCAAAGCAAGGCTAAGATATTAGCGTAAATTGAACATTGTTTTTTTAGTCATATTCTAAACAATCATATCATTATCACTTATTTTATTTCTTGTCACAGCAATGGAATGCCAAAATGTTGCACCCACTACCACTTGGTGAACGGAACTTGTAGAGGTAAACTACACTCCTGTGATATGAAAAATGTATAAGAGACGTAAAAATGATTCAATAAAAATATTTTAATCATACGATTTAATTGACTGTATTTTGCTTATAACATGCAAGCTGAAAGTAAGAAAAATTAGTTATTGTTAAGGATAAACATCCATCGGCGTATTACAATATATATACATAAGAAATGAACAGATGTGTATAAATTTTTATTAAGTGATAAAGGGAAAAAATACAAATAATATTGTTAGACAGAGATTATACAGGAATAATAATACACATATGGTTTTACAAATGTAACAAATATAATATACGTATAAAGTTTACATGTAGCATTATTTACTTAAATGAGCTGTATAGACTGAACACGGAGGGTTTCTCCAGTAATATTTCTTAATGAATTTCTTTCTTAATTAAGGTATACGTAGCGTATATGGGACATTTGAGTATAAGATGATATTCATCCTTTAATTATATTTTACGTGGTTTACAAATTGGACAAAAATTTTGGTCTCCTGAGATATTTTTGTGCGTGCTAGAAAGATACACTTTATAACAGTGAATTCCGATAGAATGACACTAAGAATTGCTGAAAGACCTTTCAATGTACGAAAATCGGAGACTTTTATACATTATACTATAAATGCCTCTTCATTACAAAGCAGTCGAAAGAGAAATTATTGCCATAACCTGAAACCATTAAAAAATCATCATCAAATGACAACTACTATTATGATATGATTATTGAATTTTGCCCGTAGCAATTAATGCCTTTCTCATCAAAAGGTGTTTTACATTATGTTTTAAACACATTTTCCCGCTCCATAGTACATGCCATTCCTTAAGTAACATAACACATACCGTGTTAATTCTTATTTTTATGCAGTAGACATGTTAGCAATAAATAAACTTTTCATGCCAAAATTTAAACCCCCCCCCCCCTAAAAAAAAAAACAAAAAAAAAAAGAGAGGGAAACTGCATGGTTGGTAGCAACTTCCAGATCTTATCACTGTTTGAAAGTTTAACTTATTCAGTCTGCCAGTTATAGATTAAATGTTTTTCAAACTGAATGAACTTCTTACCTGTTTATTTTGTGTTCAGAATGCACCAGAGGATATTTCGGAAGCAATTGTACGCCTTGTAAATATCCAGCCTATGGACTGTCGTGTCGCAGTACCTGTGAATGTTTGGAAAATCTCTGTAACCATAAAACTGGATGCTTAGGTACTCAAAGAATAAAGCATATACAACTGAAACTACACAATGAATCATAATGATGTCTTGTTTACTGTTACGTAACCACATTAATTATTCTGCATCTAATTTAGTCATTTGAAACATAAAATGACAAAGTCTTTCTTTTATATATCTGAGTTTTTAAAAAATAAAAAGAACTTATTAATTGTAAAAAAGTTAGTTGAATGTTGAAATTAGGACTTAATAATAAAATGGTTATCTTTTACATAATTACACAGAGTCTGAAGAATCAACTACAACAATCAAGCAGATTATTCTTTCAACAGAAAATATTATAACATTCAGTAGAGCAAGGACTATTACAACCCTCACAACCAGAAAAATATCTGTCATCGGCTTATTCACAACAGCAAAATCAGTGATTCCTTCTGATGACGTTTCTATGACGTCAGTCATCATTATAATCGGGAGCATTTTGTGTTTCTTTCTCTTTCTGATTGCAGTCAATCAAATTCATAGCAAGATTCAGCAACAAAGAAACCTGTTTAAAAGGAAAAATAGAAGGAACCAATACAGTTCTTCAGAGGTAGAGGACGTTTACCAAGAGATTGAAGAATCACAAACACCTGCAACGAATAGGAAATATAATGTGGTTTCTGATCAGAGTAGATTACAATGTCTTGCCCCTCCAGCTTCTAAACCCGAGTATATCCAAACTGAAGAAGAACCTAATATTTCAAATTTTTCCATTGATTCAAATTTATCGGAGGTAAATGATGCAACAAAAGTCAAAAGCAACAGACACGGAAACGTGAGCATTCGAGATGAAAAAGGAGAGGATCCGGAGAACGAAAATAAAGACACGTTAAACTTTTCTGCACCACCAGCTGCAAGTCTTCAAACAAATACGGATGATACTTATTATTGTGAGCCTGTAACTCAACAGAATACCTATCTAGACGTCATTCAGCAGTCACGTGATCCGACTTATTTTGATGTCATTCACGAGTAAAATGGCGTTCTGTAAAACTTTCCTACAAAAGAATAAAGAAATTGCATTATGAAATTTATCATATTTATCTTCGAAATGAAATATAGTGTTTTTTATTATTCAAACAAATACAAAAAATGACTGCAATATGCAGTTCCAAAGTTGATCTTACAGTATTTATAGTTTTAAAAAGTCTATGGCTGCCAATGAATCCTACAAAGACAAGTGTGATATTTCCTTATATTGAAAAAAAAAATCATCGAAAAACGTTGAAAATAAGCTGTAAATCTTAAAATTTCACGCGTAATTAATTTGCCTGACACAGGACTCTTTTTTATCTTAATTAAGAAATGATTCATTATTAATGTCAAAATGATTTATTTTGAGTGACCATTGAACAAAACCTAACAAAGTCGTTACCAATTAAGTAGAAATAAATACTTCATGCTTGATGTTTATGGAAATTAATGGGAAAGTTAACTATTGGACAGGTTTTCAATAGAATTTAACTGAGAAAAACATCGAGATATTATACAGTGCGTGCATGTTAAATGACTATTAGATTAATCTTGTTTAACAATCAACTGGAATTGTAAATAAAGCTTATTACTAGAATATACTCTTCAGTTCATAAGTAATCGAGCTGGTATTTTTTTAAGTATTAATAAATTTAAGTTACATTTTTATTTTAAAAGTATAATTTTACAACATATCTTTGATTACTCGAATAAATGTAGGGGATATGGGAGGGGATGTGAACTTTTTAAAAAGTAAAGTTTCTTGTAGATGCCGCCTCCGAATTCATAACTAAGTGAAGGGGAATTCTTAAATTATAACACGTGCTTTGTCGGGAGTGAAAAGGCGGAAATCTATCAGTCCAATTCATGTCCTTTGTAAGCATTAAGCATCAGAATGAAACATTTTCCGTTCTTAACAGTAAGCCAGTTTGAGTGACACACAACAAAATTACCATAGATATGGATGGGAAATAATGAGCCCTTTAGCGATTTTACAAACTCTGGGTTGTGATATTTTAATTGGAATTAAGGGCAGATTTGTAATGGACATGGAAGTGGACAATTGACACTATCTTGAACCTAATCCAGAGAAGCCAATTGTCCATTCATATCTCTCTACATGTATTGTTCTCCTTTATTTATCAGATACGTGGTTTATTTTTAAGATAAAGTATATAAAAAGATAAAGAAAAACGTATATACATGCAACCTACAGATGGACAGGGGTTTAATAGCGCATTTCGCAGAATTCGTAATCTGGAAGGGGATTCATTTGTGTGACGGACTTAAGTTAATTTATTTCTGGTGAATGCATATTTTATTACGAATTCGTTACACATTCCATACGTTGTCATAATAGTTGAGAGCACGTGACATAAAAAATATGATTTTTTAAAATTTAATAATATCTTTTTTTTTTAATTTGCCTTTTTTAAAAAAACAAAAAAAAAATCTGGAACTTTCTTAGCAACAATTTAGAGTGATAAAATCTTTTAATTAACATTCTCCTTGTTTGGAACCATCGTTTTTCCTATTTCATTTTCCGACTTTACTTGACCTAGTTTACTTCTCTTAATTCGTAGTTGATCAATCCGGACGTTTCGAGACTAACAAAATGAATGAAACCCTTGATCTTCGTGGCCCTAGATGTCGCTTTTTTAATCACATCATCGAGGTGTCGGTGTATTATGTCATAAAACCGTCACACTGTTTTTGCCTGGTCGGATAAACAAATGTTCTCTCATTCATTACCAAGACGGTTTAACACTGTGACATATGCAAATAATTTTCATTGTAATATAACGACTTAAAATGACGATGGTTTTCTTGTTTTGGCTAAACAGCCAGAAGGGCGATTGATAAAAATCTTCTGAAAAGCATTCATCCGTAGCCAAAATCGTTTTATTGCATAGGTAGAGAAATTGGGCTATTTTGCTACAAGGAGGGAGAGGAGCTGGACATCCAGACAGAAGGTGTTTTGATGTTAGTGCAGTTTCTATACAGGTCTTAAAACCAGAATCCAGCATTCTGCCTAAGGGCGCAGCAGCCACTCTTGCTACAGTGATGGCTAGGAACTTCAGGATAATCGTCTTTGTTTCTTTCTTGGTCTTTGTCAATTGTCAAGGTAAGCTTCCCTTTAAATTACTTTTTCCATGAAAATTCTATTCACTTTCTTAAAGAAAATTTTGTTATTTTTGTGCATAAATATTTATTTTTAAAAATATCTATGAATACGTTGATTGCCTGGATGATTATGAAAGTGATTGACAACTGATTGACATTTATTACTTGCTAATTATAAAACACCTGATCATGGTCAGCGCTCAACCACCGTTCTTCCTCGTTATAATTAATCTAAATTTGTGATCGTGATGAATAGGTTTCTGCATGTTACCGATAATGATAAATTATTATTTAGCAAATTTTTATTATTAGAAAAATCATTGGTGTTCGTACTTAAGTTCCTGTAGATTTATTCTATTGAGCAATGTCCCATACAGACCTGTATTTTTGCTCTCTGTTGTAAAGCTGTACAAATGCCCAGGGATATGATGTTATCCAATATTTACCGATATGGAGATGGGGGTAAAGTGTGACAATAATCCACAACAGATTCCCAGGAATTAGCATATCTGATGATTTTGTTGCGCAATTGTGCGAAACCACATGTTCCGATGTTGGTACTACAATGAAAGCACGCATGTTGTGATCAGCTAAAATTAAGATTAGCGATTTCCTCTTTTAATAGTATCAAACTTTGTTTCTATTTCTTCAATCGAATTCCTCAATGCAGTTGTGCTCATTCCATATTTGTTCATTGTTGGAAAATTTTTCACTCTCTATCTGTACTTAAAATAAGAACTTTTCTATAACCTTTCTCCGTAACAAAGCGGATGTTAGATAAGTTTCAAACCAAGTAACTTAGTAGATACTATAGCGGTTTGAATAAAATACTGAGTAAGCCTTCTAGAAAGCTAGTTAAGCCTAACAGGTTACCTAAAATTGATAAATTGAACAAGTTGACAGCAGTAATGATTTGTCTTGGACTGTCTGAGATATCGAGTACAGCGGACCTATCAGCTGAAACATCACCTATCTGTCGGGAAACATTTTAATGGCAATGTGGCCTTCAGGGTATAGATCTGTCCTTCTGTAAGGGACATGACCTTCTTCATTGAATTCGTTAATATTAAACTTTTACTATTAAAAGTTCTTGATACAACGATTTGCTTTAAAGACGCGGGTTTTATGCACTTAGGTTTAAGATTTTAAAAATAATTCGGGCTAGGAACATTATAAGAAATGGAAGGTAATGTTATCAAATAAAAACACTATATTATTTTTGAGTACATTTACGTTCATGTTTCAGAACTGACATTTAGCGTTTTAAATTCAATGTTAATTGAGTTACAAAGTCACGAAGGATGTCGAATGGAAAGCAGGGATTTGACAAAACCACTAATTTCATTCTCCAGATCGGCATACATCTCGCTAAGTGTATTGTCAGTACTGTCAGTACTTTGAGTTATGAGCTGGACGCCCGATCATGCAGTCTTTTCAGCATTTATTTGTGAATTTCTGTAGGAATTTTTGTAAGAAGTTAATGTGTGTAATTTACATAACACGGAACTTTCACGCTTTAATCAACAGTTATGTACTTAAGCCGTGGCTGTTCTCATTAACCGAAACTAGCTAATTTATTGTTTGTAAAAGAATAAAGAATATCAATTATTCACAGTTCGGTAATGAAGTATTTGACTTTTTTCCATTGTATAAGCATGCTATATGCATTGAGAGAGCTTTGCAACATTTATGCTAAAGGTCGTGATTTGCCAAATCAAAAATCTACAATTCTTTGCTTCTTTAAAAAGGTCATCATGGTAAAAATTGTTTTGTATTAATATTTCACTGCACTGGTTGCTAAGTTTTCTTCAGTTTTTGCTTACTTGCTTACTTCTTTTTCATTGGGTTATTTAATTTTCAAAGGAATGTCAAGGAACCTTGGGCGATCTTTTTATTTGCATTTTCACAAAACAAACCGAAAAAATGCTTGTAAACATTTGCATAACATGCTGTAAGACCAGATGGACAGCATGTTTTTAATTAAAACATAATTACAATCTGATCATATCTCAATCGTGCGATTTTTTGAATATATGTAAAAAGTACCCTGAGGATATATTTGTATCAATTTGACAGTTATCTTGTACATACTGCACAAGTTGATGAAAGATAAGATAAAATTCCAAATGAAGTAAATTATACATAATCCACAATCTGTAAAAAATCAGAAGTCTCTGTCGAGACTGTAGCTCAACTGGTTTGTACTTAACGGTATAATAAAGGAAAGAAAAGTAGCAGTTGGGATATAAAACTTTACAAAAGCAATAAATAAAATAATGATCCTTGATTAAGTCTCTTTTTTAGGCAAGATTGCAATAAGACTACAGCTGTAGGAGTAGCTTTTAAAATAATATTACTGAATTTTCAATTTAAATTACTATGGAAACATAAATCATCAAAAACACATAACTGTTAATTATGTATCTCAGTGTAGTCTGCTTGCATGCCAAATTATATTATAATCAGACTCAAACTGTATTTGGAGTAGCATTTTAAAAGTATTTCACAGATATTTCTGTTTTTAGTAACCAAGGCAACATCATTAATCAAAAATCAAAAACCGATAAACAGAATTATGTATCTTAGTGTAGTCTACTTGTGTGCCAAGTTATATTGAAATTAGACCAAAACTGTAGGAAGAGTAGCATTTTGAACGATTTTCACAGAAATTTCTATTTTTAGAAACAACGGCAACACCGTTCATCGAAATCAAAAACGGATACACAGAATTATTTATCTTAGTGTAGTCTACTTGTGTGCTAATTATATGGAATTCAGACCAAAATTGTAGGAGGAGTAGCATTTTGAACGTATTTCAAAAAAAATTCTACTTTTAGTAACAACGGCAACACCGTTCATTGAAATCAAAAACCGGTACACAGAATTATGTGGTACACAGAATTATGTATCTTAGTGTAGTCTACTTGTGTGTTAAGTTATATGGAATTCAGATCAAAACTGTAGGAGGAGTAGCATTTTGAATGTATTTCGAAAAAAATCTATTTTTAGTAACAACGGCAACACCGTTCATTGAAATCAAAAACTGATACACACAATTATGTATCTTAGTGTAGTCTATTTGTGTGCCATGTTATATTGAATTCAGATCAAAATTATAGGATGAGTAGCATTTTGAATGATTTTTACAGAAATTTCTATTTTTAGTAACGACGGCAACATTGTTCATTGAAATAAAAACCGATACAGAATTATGTATCTTAGTGTAGTCTACTTGTGTGCCATGTTAGATTGAAATCAGATCAAAACTGTAGGAAGAGTAGCATTTTGAACGATTTTCACAGAAATTTCTATTTTTAGTAACAACGGCAACAACTTTCATCAAAATCAAAACCGATAAACAGAATTATGTATCTTAGTGTAGTCTACTTGTGTGCCAAGTTATATTGAAATCAGATCAAAACTGTAGGAGGAGTAGCATTTTGAATGATTTTCACAGAAATTTCTATTTTTATTCATCGAAATCAAAAACCGATACACAGAATTATGTATCTTAGTGTAGTCTACTTGTGTGCCAAGTTATATTGAATTCAGATCAAAACTGTCGGAAGAGTAGCATTCGAATGATTTTCACAAAAATTTCTATTTTTAGTAACCACGGCAACACCGTTCATCTAAATCAAAAACCGATACACAGTATTCGGTATCTTAGTGTAGTCTACTTGTGTGCCAAGTTATATTGAAATCAGATCAAAACTGTAGGAGAAGTAGCATTTTGAAAAAAATTGTGTACAGATGGACAGACAGTCAGATAGACAGACGGACGGACGGACGCCGGACGCATTACTATCGCATAAGCTCTTCTGGTCTCTGACCAGTAGAGCTAAAACAGTAATCTCTCTCCCTCTGTCAAATCACATTAAACAAAGTTTTAAATTTCCCATCTTGTACAGTTTAAATCATTATAGCCTTTTGATATCTAAATAAACAGTTTTGAAATATTCGATAATGCTCTATTTGTCCTCTGTTTTATATATATTTAAATAGACATTATTTTAAGATGTATATATTGTAGATGAGGACCGAGGACTTGTTGTGTCCTTACTTCCCGATCACATAAGTGAAATTGTAACGTTCCCTGGAAAAGTAGACAGTTTTGTGTCTCCCAAAGAAACAACAGACGACAAAAATGGCAACAAATTTTTATATTTCTTTGGCCGAACAGACGTTTTAAGCATGGCTTGTGACCCATGGAATCATTCTATATACGTATTGGACGGTTTAACACAAAGTTTGTATAAAATGAACAATTTTAACATATGGATGAACGACACGAGAAGAAATGTTATTCTGATGCATCAAGGTGTTTCGCATTCCGCTTCTTCCCAGATAGCGTTTGATTGGCTTTCTCGGAATATCTACTGGACAGACGACCATTATAACTGGATCGGTGTCCAACCTGTGGACACAACCGATAAAACAATGTACAAAATTATCATGCATGACGGTCTTTGGTCGCCTTTGTCTTTAGCTGTGGATCCTATCAAAGGGTAGGTGAGCAAAACTTCTTTGCATTAAAATTTTATAACCACGTGATCACAAAATATTAATAGATTTGCAGGACATACTACACACTGAATGTTGCAAATTATCTTATTTCAGTTATCTGTTTGTCGCGGAGCATGGTGCCAATACCGTTATTGACAGGACTGATTTAGCCGGCGAAGATAGAAAGACAATTATTACATCCGTCTCCAAAGTTCCTGATATGGTGCTGGACATTGAAGAAGAAAGAATATACTGGATTGATATTGGTAGAAACAGTTTAGAAACGGCAAAGTATGATGGGACTGACAGGCGGATGGTACGACGGTCCACGAACATTTATATTCTGATGAGTGGCCTCACACTCTACAAGGTTTGTAAGCTGTTTTACTTTTATGGAAAACAATTTCTGGGAGCAAATGCATTGAATGACAAAAGGCTTAATTCAATGTTTTATTCAGATAAGGAAATATTAAAGTCCGAATTTTATGTCTTAAAATTGTTTTTGTTGAATGCAAATGTAATAAATTAATAATTTGCACCTGTTGTCAAGATTTATCCACGAATCATATAGACGCAGATTGCGTTTATTTTCAATAAAATAAAATTATATAAATTCTATTTATTTATGTTGTTGTTTGAGTACATGTTTCATTTTAACACAATTGAAGGTATGACCTGATTAGATTGATAATCAATGATAACTTTCCATCAGTATTGAAGTAGAAATGTTATAATTTTATATTGTACACAGTATTTGAAAATAATTATCCGCAAAACGACTGCAAAATTAATTAATAAGTATATGGGAACTCTTAAGTTAGTAGTACCCATTTCGATATTTGTAAAATATGCTCTTCTAAAAGATGGACAGCGATACACCATTAATACATCAAATGAAAAAAAGTTTTGAGGACTGTCATTTTGATGGAATTTTTATGCTTTGAAGTGTTAGTGTGTTTCTATGCTTATAAGTTGGCTTATGAAAGATTAATTTAAAAATTGTATCCATTTATGCTGTTTGGATATGAAGGATTGTTTATCTGACAATTTTGTATATGTGTTTTCATGTAATCTATAAAGATATGCTGTATAACTACTTTACTTTCCATATATTCTTTTACAGGACGTGGTCTGTCTCACTAAATTCCAAGAGGGGGAGGTTTTGTGTCTTGACAAGCGAAGTGGGGCTGTTGTCTGGTCAAATTCTTTTCCTACACAACAACCATGGAGTGTAGAGGTGTATGACAAAGAACTACAGAAAAAAGTTCCACGTAAGTCTAAAACATTAAATAACTATATTTTCAATTGGTATTTCAGACAGTTGATTTTACATTCCTTCAAGGCTTCTTTCCCTTTTTTTAACCACAGACGCATGTGAGAGTAAAGGATGTGATCATATCTGTACTAATACGCCCTCTGGCGCAAAATGTCTTTGCAAGGAAGGGTTTGAACTTCACACCGATGGTAGAACCTGCAAAGGTAACTCCATATTTTTTTCTCTAAATTCATTTTAAAGTTATGATACATCTGACCAACGAATATTGTCGAAGAGTGCAATTACAAATCCGAATAGCATTAACAGAAAATAAATATTTTCTCTTTAATTTCAAATTGTATTGATTCATCATTTTCAGCTTCACATAAATTATATGGAAAAGGTTTGCTAATAGCAAATGGCACAGATATGTGTATGTTAGACATTAGAGTGATCACTGCTCATGAAAACGATGTACGATGTTTCCTTTCCTGGAAAAGCAATATCACATATGTAGCAGTTGATGCCAACAAGAACAAGATTTACTTCTCGGACAACGCTAATAGGCAGATTCAGAAATATGATGTTGTGCTCAACGTCACTTCCGTTATAGCAACGACCTCCATCGCCATTTCCGGTAAAAGTTTGATTCCAAATTAAATGATTTTTTCCATTCGTATTTTCTTTTTTATTTAAAATTATAGTATTACAGCAGTATTTGCTGATTAAATAAGAGCGTGTGCTCCCAAAAGAAAAGGAAAGGGGAAACAAGAAAAAAATATATATATATAATAATTGAAGCCTACCACATTATTTTATTTATAAAATTTTTTCAAGGTTTGGCGTATGACTGGATTAACGACGATATATACTGGTCTGAAAAAGACACGGGTAAAATTAAAGTCACTACTGCAGCAAACAACGTTCGACAGGAGGCTACGATATTCTGGGGCCTCGATCGCCCCTCTTTCCTTACTATAAATACCCATAATTCGTAAGTAAAGAGAAAGTTCTGGTTATATGCTGAGGAATGTTCGATTAACTTACAAACAAACGTTAAAAAATCATCAAAGAGACGGGCGGACAAAATTTTTTTATGCCTTCTGTCCTCTTCTATTTTTTTTTCTAATGTAAAAAATTCTTTTAAAATATAAATGAGGGAGAAAAGGCGTTTCCGTGTTTCTAACCTTAAAATTTGTAAATCTAGGTCAATGAGTTTGGATCACCCAATTTGTCCATATTTAAAAGTAATCAGGTCGGTTAAGTGATGCATATTAAGAGAATATAAACTGTCACATTCCGAAGTTTAAATGAGATAACTTTTCAAAATATTAATATGCCTCTTACTAGGCTTGTGACAGTAAACATTCGTTAGGACAGCATATTCTTTCTTTCGGGAGGTCAGGCAATGATTTATTGGACAAGGGTGAATCAAGTTAAATTTTAAGAGCTGTGTTCTGCACCAAACACTCTATAATAAAAGTACAGAGACAGTTCATCGACTCATTTATATTATAAGCGTTACACATTTTCACTGCAAATCATATACATGTATAATATTTTTTTCAAATTCATGCCGACTTTTGTTTACCCCACACAAAATAATATTTTTCGCAATTTAATCATATGTTACATTCAATAATTATTATGATTCGAAATTCAGACTTACATTAAACGTGCATGTACAAAACAAATATACATGTATACTGAATTTACTTCACCTTTTCCCGACCTTTTAGCACACTGTACTGGATAGCCAATAGAAACGGGCAATACAGCATAGAGGGTGGCAGTTTTGATGGAATGCAGCGATGGAAAATTGCGGAAAAGGCAATTTTACTCAGTCCTTCCGGGCTATTTTACGATATCACATACAAAAAGTATGCTCATGTACACCTTTTATTTTAACACTAGATCTCTTTTCAAATTCTTTTTTGAAAATCTCCAGAATTATGACTTAGCAACTGTTCTAAACTAAAACGTGTATTTGGCAGATTATTCTTCACGGACAAAGGAGAACTGAAAAGCATTGATCCAGATGGAAAAGATCTCCATGCTTTAAATTCTGTTGGAAGTGACGACAAAGTTCTTGTATACAAGGTCAGTTCCAACTATTGTATGTGGTTCGTGTTTTATAAAGACGAATGGCTCTCCTCTCGCCATTAATGATCAACGAATTTGGCCTTTTGGGTAAAACTGTGATGATACATTTTTGGTTACAATTTTCACAAGATGTTTCCAAAGCAATAGCCTAGACACTAGCGAGATGCGATCAAAACCTTGCCAAAACCAAAAGTTCTTTTTCACAGTTTGAATCTGACAATGTTTTCAATAATTCTATAAATCAATGAATTGCTGTGCCATTTTATTCTTCAATATAATTGTCTTATTTCCATATCATACTTTATTGTAGGATTACGCCCTAGTATATAACGGAGGGACATCTATTCGAAATCTAAATATACACACTAAAAACTTCCAGCCCGCCATAAACCTGACAGATTTCAAGGCAGTTTCTTACGTTGCAGCCTTTGACAAAAGTATTCAAAAAACGGAAAGATGTGAGCATTTGAAAGAAAACTATCAAATATGAGACTTGTGTCATTTCTCAGTTTTCGAATAATGTCAGATTTAAAAAAAAAAAAAACGTTTAAGGTCTTACTTATTATATTGATACCTGTGTTATTTTTAGCTCCTTGTATGGTTAACAATGGAGGATGTGAACATATATGTTTATTGGACAAGGGACAGAAAAAGTGTCGCTGTGGGTTTGGATTTACTCTGCGATCAGACGGACTCAACTGCTCAAGCAGTAAGTTATCACAGTCACAAAATAAAGTAGCTATCTAAGAAGACTGATGAAAATAATTAAAAGGAAAACAGTAAAGAATTGAATTATAGCATCATTGCAATATTATAGGCATTAACTTATTTTGCAGCCCCTATGCTGGAGGAGTTTGCGATGACAGTAGACTATACACATGGAATTCTGTACCAGATATCACTCCAAAATGCGGATGTAAAAGCAATAGACATTCCTGCTCCAAATTATCCTATGTGTGCCACCTATGACACTAGACGTCACAAAATATACTGGACAGACTTTCAAAGATATCAAATTCTCCAAAGTACAATCTGGGGACAGAATAAATCTGTTGTTTTTAATACAGGTATACTTGATACATGGTCAGATCAGTATATTTCTGCAATGACATATCAAATAAAAAATTCAAATAAAACTTCCCAATTTAACATGTTAACCCTGAGTTCTACGAAGATTCTGAAAAATGTAGAATAACAGTTTGCATTTTTAACCAATAAAATATTAAGTATACGTAACATTATCTTCCATATATAAATCTTTTGGTCAGGTTCCTACATACCTGGCTCCATTCAGGTAGACTCTTCAACAGGCAATATTTATTACGCTGCTACCACTTTTGACTTCATGAAGGGAGTGACGTCACATATCGCAGTTGTGCGGCCAAAGAGCGGACAAAATAAAGTAGTTATATCGCAATTAGAGGTAGTCAAAACCATAGCACTGCATCCACAGAAAGGGTGAGGATTACACATCATTGAAAAATTTTGTAAATAAACATCCTGATTTTATCTTTACACTTCGAATATGTATAATGTCTTGTATTGAATTGTCTTACCTGAAGATGGTTATACTGGATCGACAAAGGGGGCGCCCAATACACTTCATACATAGGACGAGGAGCCATGGATGGCGACAGTCGTTCGTTCTTTGTGTCCTCCAACTTATACAGTCCAACTGGTCTAACCGTAGACTACAAAGGTAAAATAAATATATTTTAAAAATAAGCTTTATTTTAACAAAAAAGAGTTTAGGGACTGAAAGCAATTATACTACCTTGAATTGAACTCGGGATATTTTTGTTATTAAGTTTTTAATTATTTGTACATTTTTAGATGAGAAGTTATACTGGTCAGATAGTTACATGAATACTGTCAATTATATTGGACTGGACGGTAACAATCGGGGAGAGTTGACCCATGACCCCCGTGCGGACATAATGCATATTGCTATTTATGGTTCTCACCTATATTACACGGCTGTGAACCGACAGTAAGTTCTTGGTACATTTTTTTTTTGGAATGCTCAGTTTCTCATTTCCATGCACTGACCATATAAAGCAATCATTCTCTGAAGAGGGGTTAGAAGTCATATTCAAATCATTGTAGACTATTTAATATGGAAATAAGGAGCTCAGTATATAAAAAAAAGGATATGCAATAAACTGTTATCTGGAACACGTGTTTTTTTTGCATTAGTCAATAATACATAGCTACAAAAAATAATAATCTAAGTGGAGCTGTTTGGTTATTTGTTGATCTCCTAGCGTCCTGAAATTATACTCCGTTATCTGCTTGGGATGTCTGGAGCAAAAATGAAAAGTCTAGGCAGAATTTCACTATACATATGCATGTACATAAACTTTCAGATTCATTACAAAAGTCAATAAAAAGACAGGAACTATTTCTTCTTGGATGAGTGAAACGCCGGAATTTGGACGATTGGAGACGTTATCTTTATATCCGGGTGACTTAATGCCAGGTAATGAATTATAAATCAAATTGATGACCTGTCACTAATGTCAAGAAATAACAAGACAGAAGCAACTATTTGCAATGATAGTTAAATAAATAATTTGTAATATTTTCCTGTATTTTTAGTCAATGAAAAGTGTGCAGTTAATAACGGATTATGTAGCACGTTTTGCTTACCGACTCCCTTTGGTAGAACCTGCGCTTGTGAAGAAGGGGTTTTATTGGAGGAGGATGGCAGAACCTGCAAAGGGGGTGAGTCAGTTGTCATATTGAATCATATTATTTCACATGTACATGCATGTATTTCAGTGGATGGTCATTTATACAAGTATGTACTTCCTGTTTATATTCTTTTCCAAGAATTTTATCAAAAATAAGTTAATTACTTCATTCAGTAATTATGTTGTTATTTTCAGGAAACAATTCTCCAAAAATTTATTTTAACTTTCACTTTTTTCATAGTTAAAAAATGTAATCAGACTATTCCAAATGGAGGATTTAACATGGAATGCACCGGTTACTTAGGCAGCACGTGCCGGTACCACTGTTTCCAAGGTTACCTTCCGGCGAGGGCGGACAGCGAGTTACACTGTAATTACAATGGAGACTGGGGTGTTCAAGTAGACCAGCTCTGTGAGTATATTGTCATATTCATAATGAATAAAATATTTATCTTAATAGTTGATTGAGGTACACCATATCTGAGCATCATCTTTTTTCAGGTAGTTAGTGCTGATGATAGTCTATAAGTTTTTAGACAATTCTATCGATGTTTTACATTTATACTTTGTCAGATTTGGATTGCAATGAATTATATTTTTATTTAGATTATGATAAATGTCAAGACATGCAGCTTGAAGCATTAGTTGACACTGAGCCAATATATTTACAAAATATACAATGTGTATGTAGTTCACGTACGTGGTAATGTTAGATGGTCTTCTTGAATAGGTCAACCCTATGATCCTTCTAAGGCTGCTGAATATTCAATGAAGACAAATACTCTGAATAATGCGGCATTGGGCGGAATCCTCGGCGGAGTCATCGTGGTTCTCGTCATTATATTCGTTATTGTTATCATCATTTTATACAAGAGGTATGCATGTAAAAAAATTAGATTGCTAGATTCTACACTTAAAATTGTTTATTCACCATCTTTTATTACATAAAGCCATGGCAATCAGGAAAAAAAATTATAGATTAATTTCCATTTTGACGTTTGACGTTATTTTATTATAAGAATATATGTGCTATTCTTCTAAGCTACCAGATAAAACTTCTTATGACAAATGCATGTAGCCATTAGAGAAATATCAGTCAAACTTTATGTAAATGTAGGTCAATGTATCTAGCTTTAGCAAAGTAAGCAGATAATTATGTTAATTTTAAATCCGGTAAAGAACATGTCAATCATTTTAATTGCTGCAAGATCAAACATTTTACTGACATGTCATTTTTGCAGGCGATCTGGAATGTTTGCTCATGCCAAATTTGTGAACGCGCCAAATGTACAGTTAAATCCGTCAAATGCGGAGAAGATTGACAAGGATATAGGAAAGTCCAAGGAGCATAGCAACGGAACTCTAAATGGGACATTGGGAACAAGTAATCCCGTGTATGAATATAAAGCGGACAAAAACGATTCAAATCACCACGTATATAGTACATTGGATGTATAGAATATGTGATCAACTGACTATTCCAGATAGTATCATTCCAGTTTATGAAATCCATCTTGATATTATCAGGGGACAGAAATCCATGACTCGTGCACATATATCCCTTTGTGTATCTAGAGTAGATTCGATACTACTTGATTGAAAGAAATTTATGTGCAAGAATGGAAGGATGCTTTTGAAGACATATTGCGCCCATGACAGATCACAATGTCAATGGGGAAAATTTTGCAAATGTGTATTTTCTGGTGTCCATTTTTATTTTGATTTGTTGATTTTTTATAAGGTGCTGATGGAATTTTATACCCTATATACTAGACAAATAAATATACATTGAAAATCTTTATGTCCTTTTTGCAGAATCAAATTTATTTGATTACACAATTTTTAATTTATAAAAACCACAAGGATAATTATGGGGATTCCCTATTACAGTTATTAGCGTATTTTTCGGTTGTTGGACGAAAGGTCATTGTCAAGGAAGAGCTTGTACATGTATCTACTACTGCACTGGACAAATTATGAGGAATGCGTCCGAAAGGTTAAATATTTATAAACTGACATCTAGAACGGACGTTACACCCAGTTCGAGGGGAAATGTAAATTTATTAGAAGATAAATTATTAAACGGAATAAAACAGGTTGATGCTTTAACTTACAATTAATATTTAACAACACAGTAATTTAAGAGATTTTTTAAAAAGCTTTTATTCTGTAACAAACAGTTGTTTTATCAACATGAAGACAACGTGACAATACTTAATTGTTATTATTCGAATCGCCCTGCCGTTGACCGCAGTAGCTCATGGAGAAAGGACAGGGGACTCTGATATGCAGGAATTGCCCGCCGTCGTGGACGGGAATTTTGCCGAGGTTTCCTATTTTCAAATGGAATCAATGGGACCAGCAAAATGTCGCCTTGAACAACGGTGCCACTTCGTGGTGACGAAGGAAGGAGCCACAGATCCTGACCCCTATTTGTTCCAAGATCACGGAAGGCAAAGAGAGTACCTGTTTAAAATTAGTTGTATACAGTGCATCAAAAGAATATTAAAATAATTCATTATATTACATGTATTTGCATTTTGTTCAAAGAGGACGTTGCAGTTCTTTTGTTATTTTCCCTAAATGTGTAGCAGATTAAAAGAATAATTTTTATGTTGCAGAAACTCATATTAATTTTTTTCAAATGCAACAATGTATAAAGCACAACGAGAAACAATATTTGGAAGATGTGTATTGATCATGTTGACTTCCAATCTGCCATTAAATGATGTGAAAATTAGTCGTACGGCAAAATATATGATTTTCCTTTTTTATATAGGGAATCCCCATTGTTCTGAAAAAGTGCCTCCTTGAAACAAAATAATTTTGATATATACACAAAGAGGCAGGAATTTTCTTCAAAACTGCCATTTCCGATTTTTGTTTCAAAGAGGCACATTTTTGAAAAACGCGAAAATTGAATAAAAATTATTCTCCAAACGAAATGCAAAATGTCTACTTTAAATAACGCTGCAAACCCATCGTGTCCGAAATGGTCTAGTGAATATGCTGGTGGGCTTCCAACTAGTACTTTTACCAGAGAATGGGTTCGAATCCTGGTATGGATCATTTTGTGCATATTTTTTTCTCCAGATGGTAGTGGAATGAAATTTTGAAAGAGAGGAAGGGGGGGGGGGAGGAGGAGGAGGGGGGAGAATGTCGAGATGTGAATTAATAACTAATCTATATATTAGAAATGCAGGATTAAATTGTTTTTCTTGATGTGCTGTGACTTAAAACTATGATTTATTTAGTTTGTCTTGGAAAATGAAATTCCTTTATTGTTTAAATAATTTATTTTTTACATACTGTAGTTATTGCAATTTTGGTCTCTTAGTTAGAAGCCAATATTTAATTTGAAACAAATAAAATGTCTTGGATATAGCACCAACAGTGTGATTATGGGACGCAGTTTTATTTCACGAAAAATATTTTCGCACGATGTCTACAGAATATCTTTCAAAATGCTGCTTTAGCCATTGTGCTTTTTGTTGTTCCAACCTCTTTCATGCAAAATGACGAAAGTGTTTTGCTGTATCAAGCAGGAAATACCCTCTTAATAAAATAAGAAAAGCAAGAAATTTGGTTACTTCTCGTAACAAAATTGGTCTGTATATGTTTTATTGATATAGTATGTAAAGAATCGATCGAGTGTATGTACATGTTTCACCTTTAGGATAAAAAGTATATAAGGAATACATCTTTCCGATCCCATATGCTGCAAATTCTAAATGAAATACTAGTAGTTTTACATGTTATACAAAAAGTTGTCCCTTCCCCGCCATTTTTTAGGTTTTAATTATCTGGTCTTTTTTTCGGTTGCTACAAGTACATGATATGATCATGTAGACCGATAAAGCAATCGCTATTTCTTGGGACTTGCCGACAAGATTTTTTTTATTAACCGGATTCTATTGAGGAGAAATCCTCAGATATGAATGATGAAGCGATAACGAGGACAAATTTGATAATTTTTTGATTAGAAAGTAACATGTTGCCGACTGAAATATCTTTCTAATGTTTCTAGATTGTTTTAGGTATGTTTGCAACTCTTAGATTTTATTTAATCCTCATCTTTCAATTATTTTGGGTTTTAGAGTTTTTATAAAACAATGGGCATCAATTCAAATATCATCAAACTAAATTATAATTAATAATTTACTTTTAATATAAAAATCTTAAGTTTTGACAAAGGCTCTGATCAATGAACAAATCCACCAAGACATTTTTCCCCTGGTAAAAAAAACTTCAGTTGTTTTTATTTTATTTTATTATTATTATTTTTTTTTACATATTCCAAAGAATTGAGAAAGAATGTCGTAAGATATGAAGATAGCGTACCTGATTATATAATATATTATTTTAAAAAAATCCTCACTGCCCTTGTCAATTAATATGAAGAATAACCCCATCTGATGACTTACCACGATTTCCGCAGGCGTAATGTTGGCAGAGGACCACGATTAGGGTAAAGTATATTAACATTCTAGACATCTTGGAAGCTAAAAATAAAAATGACAACGTTTTTTTCATCGTTTACATTAATAATTTTATAAATCATTAGTGTTAGCAATTCACCTTAGATTGCAAATCAAAACTTGTCTCTTACTTGATATATATACCGATAAGTTCAGGAACTCTTACTTTAAGGTTCCTATTTGTGTGCAACTCGTCCCCATAGGATGAAAAAAGTAAACTGACCGTTCCGTAACCAGAGAGGAATATTTGTATATAAAAAAAAAAGTGGGGGATGCAACACGGGGAAAGTGATATAAAAGAGAGACGATCGATCACTTCCATCAATAACAAAGCAATAATGTTGTCAAGCTTAATTGATTCCAGTACGTTATTTCTATTACAAAGCAATTAATATTGTGTTATTATTTTGACCACGATGAACAGTTACATAACACAAGCAGTGATATATGTAGATATAAATCGGAATCGGAAAAGGTCACAAATACCTTAAACATCCAAGATCATAAACACAACATAGAAACGGATGATTTTATATTTATTATCTGTTAATTTATCAATAAGAAACACCGTCATATTTTTCTCGGATGTCTTTTTACAATTAAAAGGATACATCGAGTGATGCCAGGGAAAGTTGAATATCATTTTAGGCCCTTATTTACAAATAAAGCACAAATTACAATTAAGGTAAATTAAATTAAGATACTGATTATGCCAATATCATTATTTTTTCTTAGCTATTATTTTAAAAATCAAATACTATCGTATGCAGGAACGTGCAATTGTCAGTTCTAATCATATACATGTATTTCTGTGGGCGCTATAGATAGCACTGAACTAAAGTTCTTGTTTTAAGCTTATACAAGCAAATCAAGCATAATAACCATGTTTTTTTTCCAAACATATGCAATAATTTTCAACTTTTTAAGCAAGTTTTACCTTTCTTTTTTTTTTTTTATTTGACGTTGAAGTAGAATTAGAGGTTCTGGGTTTTTTTTTCCTTTTTAATTGAAAGCATTTTAGAATTTTTCGAATACTTTTTCTTAATTTATAAAATTCAAAGAACAATGAATTTATTTAGAATAATATATTTACTTTATTTAGGCACAAATGGCTTAATTTGGATCATATGTTTTGAGGTACTTGCCACTTGGTCTATTATTTTAAATTGCATGAAACCTTTGCTCGCTGACCACCTAAACAATTATATTAGGACTACAGTGACACTCTTTTAAATTATTGATGCACAAATAATTTTCAAATTAAGAAATTTAAAAGAAAAAGATTCCAAAAATGTAAAACCACGAAAAGACCAATGACGTTATACATGTGCATCTACATGTAAACATAACTTTAATAATAAAAAAAAAACAAGAAATTAATGTATTAAAATCGTTTGTCTACTTTTTGTCAAACATTTAAAAAAAAAAAACCTGTTTGCATTGTGAAATAATTAATTTTTGTTCACTTTTTTCAAACTTGCATATATGCTATTTTCAAATACATTCGCAGTACGAGTTGTCAAAAATTCAACTTTCGATTTTTAACTTCCGGTTTTGCCACATCACGATGGAGGCTCTCTTCAATATCCCATTTCACGTTTTAGAAGTCCCAAATTTGAAGTTAAAGAGGCCAGGATGGGTGAAGCAACCGTCTGCAATGGTCATGTTTTCTATGGTCCTGTTTTCATATTTTCTGGTCACTGGAGGTATTGTTATACTTTCATTTACACGTCAGCAAATCTGAAGTAAACAAGCATCGAGTCATAAACACTACAGAAACAAAATGCAATCTGGTTTCAAAATAGTTTAATGACTGATTAAAATTTTAAATAATTATTTCAGATTCTTCTTCCTGAAAAACATATGAAAAAAGTAAATATAGGAAGTTCTTTTAATACACCATTTATGTCACTGCTCAGTTGAATTTGCAACATTTCAGTTAATTTTTTCTTTGGTTGTTCACTTAAATCTTTAAAATGTTTAACAATAAATACTTATTTTCTAAAAATGATATGCTGTAGCAGGTAAAAAGTAAATACCCAGCAAAGCAAAATTATCAAAAGATGAACCTTGTTTAAGATTTGTACTAAAATGGTTATGTTCCTTTCATTCCTTTGGTCTGATTTACAGGAATCATATATGACGTTATAGTTGAGCCTCCAAGTATTGGATCCACAACAGATGAAAGAGGAAATTCTAAACCAGTAAGTTAATAAATAGACAGCATGAATTATGTTTTGTAGATTTATTAACAGATCTTTTTACATGTCTCTACATGACAATAACAGGCATGCTCATACAGTTTAAATTTAAAAAATAAAAAGAGGTGAAAAATTATATTTAGATTATTCAGTATGGAATCAAGAATGAGATTGACAATCACTTTTAACTAATTTTGCATAATTATTTAAGCCTTTCATTATATTTTGTTATATACTTTATACATCCAAAACAGAATTTTTGATTTTCTTTTTTTTTTTAATATATACCAATAACTTTCTCAGAATTCTGTAGCTGCAGAACTGTAGCTCTGCTTAGCTTGGGAAAATTCAGACAGACGTTTTTAAAGCAGAAAGCTACAGATCCAAGCATTCTAAAAACCTTTGATTTATGCTGCCACTTTTTGTCCTCCAGTTCAGGTATTATATCTTGTAGTTTATGCTTTCCCTTGCATTTAGAATTGTATGTGATAATTTATCCTACATTTAACTCATTTTATTGATACTTTATTTACCTTTCAATGGTTTGAAAAAGTCCTTTATGGTTTTGGAAAGTTGATTTATAAAATTCCCATTTCGATGTTCCTAACCACAAATTACCATTTGGAATTGTTGAAAGGTAAATAAAATATCAGGAATAGGAATTTAAGGTATGGCCAATTTTTGGATAATATTTTTAAAACAGGGGAAAGCAAAGAATTCAGGCAATGATACCCAAAAGTAATCAACAACAAAGAGTGGCTGTGAAAATTGAAGGGTTTTTTTTTTACAACACTTGGATCTGTATCTCTCAGCTTTATATGTTTGAATTTTCTTCGGAAAAAAGGTTAAGAAAAGTATAGAAATACAATTAAGGCATTACACATGATTAATTTGTTAAAACTAAATATCTAATCCTATTTTGCAGGTAGCCTTCATGCCATACAGAGTGAATGGTCAATACATTATGGAGGGGCTAGCCTCCAGTTTTCTTTTTACAATTGGTGGTTTAGGATTTGTCATACTGGACAGGACGAATCATTCTATGCCCCGGCTAAACAGAATCCTGCTACTGTGTGTCGGATTTATTTCTATTCTTATCTCTTTCTTTATGTGCAGAGTTTTTATGAGGATGAAATTACCGTAAGTGCAGCAAGGATTTACTTGTGCAGTTCATTCAGCTTGATTTTCTTAAATATATCAGTGTTTGAGATATTTAAAATCATTGATATCTCTATCTTTTCAGGGGATACCTAATGGCATAAAGAGAGATCTATTGCTTCATCGAAGACTTTCATATATTTGATTAGTTGTAATTTTTGAAAAATTAAATCATTATTGATATTTTTCTAAAAGTTTGTTGATCATTTTGATATTATTTATCGTTTAAAGTGAATTCAAATGACCCCGCAAAATGTGTATTAAATAGGGTTTCTCTCAATTCACACAGCTTTAAAGCTTTAAAGCTAGGTCATTCAAAACTTGTATTAGAATTTGGTGACCGCAAGTTGCAAGAACATGTTCAACTGACAATGATGTTGTAAGACTGTAAACTTAAACCTTTTATATTTGGACGTTTGAGAAGAATTAATTTCCATGCCTAACAGTTTGATCATTTAATGTAGCTACACCCCAAACCTACTGGTCAGGATTTGAACGAAATTTAACTACCAGAGGATGATTCAATATAAAACTGATTTACATTTATTAGGGATGGATTAACAAGAAGAGCAGAATGATATATTTATCAAATTATGTTCAATTTGTGCATTAAGAAATTAAAGTAAAGTTCTCATTTTTCAGGGGTGTAGCCAGGGTACATCTGATTTGGACGACTGGATAGGCTGGGGGTTTGGAGGCCGCCTTTAGGCCCCCACTGGGTCCAGGGCGAGGCCCTGATTGGGGCTTAGGGGACGAAGCCCCCGGAAGGTAGTGAATTTTCGACGATTTCGATGTGCATATTTCACCCTTCTAGCATTTTTCTTACACTTTTTCGGTTTGTTACGCAGCTACATTTACGGTCTGTTCTTTCCTTGTACTAAATGCGGACAGTCACTCAAAAATGAGAAAAGATATGTCCACAAACGAACGCACTAAAACAATTGTAGACTTTTGAAGCTCGACAAAATACGTATGGTGACATACGGTTGTTGGTTAGAGTGGTTGACTGGTTTAGACAGACCACTGATAGTCAGGCTTACATTAATATTAAAATACAGATTGAATATATTATAACAAAGACAGAAGAATTCTTTTCAACACATTTTCTTGCACACTACCTATGTACATTGTATACATTTTAAAACGAATGTTCACAAATATTCACAAACCTGGTATCTTAAACTTTTTGCAACAATAATAAAAAACATGTAAAATATACTACTGGTTTTAAGGTAGTGTTACGATTGTCAATACTTAAACAGGCATTATTATTATTTTTTAAAGGTTAAACTGAATTTTACCAATTTTTCGATTTTCGACGTTCATATATAAAGCTGAATTATGATATTTGAAGTCTCGCATGAATCCGATATTAGGTTAAAATGATGTCGTTACAGAAGTTAAGCATTGCGGTTGGAAGTTAATTTCCATTATAATAGAAATTGAAATTTTTGGCATTAATTAAATTATCGTTTGTTTTAAGGGAACCGACTAGGGTTTTATTGTGTGACATCTACGATAGAGAAACTCTTTAAGAATGTACATGTAATTACACTTGGGGAAAAAAATCAGCAATATTCGATAGTAAACCAAAATCCGGGAAAATCTTTTGATTTCAGTTAGGTGTATAATATCGTATTTTCCCCCCGAAAACTGATTCTGTTGATTTTCATTAATTTTTTTTCGTTAATTCTATTATTTTTGAAAATATTTACTAATATAATTTTGCAAAAATGATGAGTACGCTTTACAATATTACGCCTGTCTCGCTCTCCTCTTCTCCTCTCCTTTCTTTTTTTTTTTTTTTTTGGAAAATGATGTGAACGTTTGTGCGTACAAACATACGCTTGGCTACACCCCTGATTATTGAAGTTTATATGACAAAAACAACTTTTCTGAGAAAAAAAAGTTCTCGACAAAAATTACTTTGAACACGATGTGCTTGTGAAACACCGATGCTCCTGTATGGCATGCTTATGGCAAGGGTAGAATTTTCTGAAACGGTTCCCATAGGAAGGTCTTGTTATAAGGAACACACTTGTGAAATATCAAAGCCTTAATTTTAAATATCAAAAGTTTTGGCTAAGGTTAAAGTTTTTAAAAAGTGGACCAAACTCTAAGGTCAAAAGGTCAAAAATATTTAAACCCACTGAAAGGTCTTGTCACAATGATTTACACATGTGGAGTTGGAAAATTGAAGTCTTAACTACAACTGTTCTAAAGTTATGGCAAAGGTGAAAGTGTGACATTTTTTGTAAAAGTAGGTCAAACTCCAAGGTCAAAAGTTCAAATTGAGTGGTACCCAGAGAAAGGTCTTGTCACAAGGAATACACCCGTGAAATATGAAAGCCATAGCCCCCACCCACTCAAAAGTTATGGGCAATGTTAAAGATTGTGCGGACAAACAGACAGACTGACGGACAGGACATATGCCCCTGAAACTTCGTTTATGTGGGCAAAAAAAGTGGTATTCGCGGTATAATAACCATAGCAATAAAATTCCAAGGTTTCATTTATTGAGATATTACCGAAAGTACTGTATAGTTTAATGCTTAACGAAACATCAAAGAAATTTTGTCACATGTACATTTATTTGAGATTGACCCGCTTCCGCACTACAGGCAGTTCGCTTGCCTTGATCATCCATCTTCATACAAATTTTATAACCTATATATTCTTTATGCCTATTCGTAAAAATTTAATCTTCTATTGTTGCAGGCATGAAGCGAAAGGGGGGTGCTTTCCAAACATAATGTTCATTAAAAGGTCGGTTGCCTCCCCCTCACTTTCAAAAACGATGCTACGTCACTGTGTTGCCATACCCTTACCCCGGGTCATGATTTGAACAAAGTTGCATGTACACTTCGTGTGGATGCCCTCACATTTGATGTAACGAATCATGATTTTAAGAACAAAACAGATAATGCACTGCCTGTAGCTAAGGATGCTCCCATATTTATATGACTTATCACGGTTCTTTAAAAGATTTTTGCGTTTATGTTCCTATGTGTAATGTAGTTTCAGGTGAACCAAAGTGCGGCCCAAAACATCTTTGTAACAAGTTGAAACTTTAAAAAAAAAAAGAAAAAATTCCCAGATTGAGAATAGAATATCCCATGAAGTAAGTCAACAGTTTGTTTTCAGTGTATGTTTCACCCAAAAAATTATGTGTGTGCGGGGATGGGGGTGTTCCAAGCAAAAGTTTGTATTATTTATCTTTAATTACATATTTTTTTAAAAAAAATCTCTAAACATGTCATGGTACTTGTAAAGCGAATAATACAGTTAAAATAGAACAGTAGGTCAGTGGTGTTCGTAAGAGCGAGCAAACAGATATGTGCATGTACATTGAATGTTACTGTCCATGGGAACCGGATAGGAAATTTGATATTATTACCAAGTAATTATTTTTAACAGTTAAAATGTGAAATGTGGTCTAGTAAAAGAAGTTATTAATCAGATTATACGAATTGATGTAATATACAGAGATATTAAGAGAATGTACGTGTGAATTAATCTATACATGTATATTTTGATATAGATTTACATGTCTAATGTACAGTCGTTTGGCCAGTTCCGGATTTTGGCCAGTTCCGAATAATTAGTAATTTAAGGACTGATAATTAATAAATTCAACGGTGTAAAAATAAATTGATTTCTATGGTAAGAAGGCTTATAATATGAGTGTTTGAATTATGTGAAGTTTTGATTTTTTGCCCTCAGTTTGGTTTCGTTATCGTACTTGAAACAGTTGACATACTTTTACAATGCAACAAATCTGAATCACCGCGACGCGTAAGTCGGCAGAAAAACCTCTGTAGATGCATAATTTTTCACATAAAACAACGTTCCAGGTATCAAAAGTAAGTTTGATATGTACTCTAATATATACTAAAAATATACTAAAAATTTGAAAATAAATATTTAGAAAACTGGAAGATATCGAAATATTTTCGTGTTCTTATTTTACCAGTTCCGAATATACCCATTTTAAACAATATTATAAATTCACTCTTCGATGTTTTTTTCATTGTAAACGTGACTTATTATACCCCCGCTTGAAAAACAGGAAGAAGGGGTATAAAGTAATGGGATGTTTGTCCATCCAGCCGTCTGTACGTCCGTCCGTCCGTCTAGCTGTACGTCCGTCTGTCTGATATGCTCTGGTGTATCCATTTCTTATCCGCAACCCCTCTTCTACCACTGAATAAAGTTTAATGACGCTTCACAGAATTTAATGAGTCTTTCACAGAATCTTTGTTTAACAGTGCCAAAGTGCACCTATTTTATTTTTGGATCTGGTACATAATTTGGGCTCCCTGGGAAAAACATAGATACTGCCATTCTTTGTAATATTGAAAGGTATATCCATCTCTTATACGCAATTCCTCCTATACCACTGAATAAGATTTAATAATACTTTCACGTATTCTTTATTGCATTGTGACATTGTGACCTTTTATTTTACATTTTGATCTGGCATTTATTTCGGGTCTCCCAGAGTAAAACATGGACTTTGTCTTAAATAATCATAAAGGTGGCGTGGGGTATCATTAAAATGAGCTCAGTGCCCACAGTATCTCTAGTTTCTCTTTAACCTTTGGAAATACATATAATTTATTGGTAAGCAATTAATTTAACTTTTCTTAGGCATACCAATGGATAACGTCTGGGACGTATATTTGTTAATTTAGGGTTGAATTGAATAAGAATCTCTAGGGTATCCGGAACCCGTCGGGTTATTCGTAACTGGTAAAATGGACACCTATGGTAAGTTGCGAAATAAATATTTTTGAGGGAAGTCTGAACTTTAATGAAACAATATTTCATTCCACAAGTCATCGAACTACCTTGACAAAACACTTGGATTTTGATATAATTCCTAGTATATTTATAGCACCGTCGAATCGGTTTCTTATTCGGAACTGGCCAAATAACTGTAGGATTAATGTTGGGTAAAAGTTTTGCTTTGGCTACGCGCAAAGGTACTGTAACTCAGCCCCCTCCCCTCTTTCTCTCTCTCTTTGAAAATCATATGTAAAATATATCTCATCAATGGGGGAAAATTGTATTTACATATTTGAAATAATTGATGTTTTAAATAACTGTTTCGTTTGAATTTTCAGTGCAGAGGCTAACTGTAAACCTCATATATTTTCAACCTCAAGCGCATACAAACACTTCCGGTAGCGTGAACAGTATTCTAGCTGAGCAGTAGTATGAGCCAAGACTGAAATGGCTGACAAGCCTTCCCCAGATATTTCACTGATTTTGTATATTTCAAGACACAAATTCTTTGTAAGTATTTATTATATTGTTTGTTTTACATCTGAAAATATGTATTGTAACAAGGAGAGAGATCAACTAGCACTTGACGTTTACAGAATTCACAGATATTACCATCGGCCAATGACTTTGTAAAATAGTATGCCAGGGTTTTTATGCCCCCTTAATCGAAGATTCGGGATATATAGTTTTGGCAATGTCCGTCCGTCTGTCTGTCCGTTTGTTTATCTTTTTGTCTGCAAAAACTTTAACATTGTCCATTATTTTTGAGTTGGCGGGCCAGGGGCTATGACTTTCATATTTCACAGATGTATTCCTTATGACAACACTCTTCGTTGGGTACCACCAAAGACCTTGTGACCTTGACCTTGGAGTTTGACCTTCTTTTACCAAAAAAATTTCTTCTGATTTTGTACGGAAATTTAAGCTCTTAAAAGGAAAAAGAGCAGAAAAGACCCTTCACTCGAAATAGGATTTTAGAATATATGCGTAAGCTGTTTGATTGTTAATTTGTTTCCGTTATTTTTTTCTCGTCTGTCAACTGTTATTGGAGGTTGCCCCTTTGCTACGGGCTTTACGTCGTTGTGCGATTTTTTGCATGAGATTTGGGGGAACCAACCCCCGCCCCTCATCCAAAAAATGCTAGATCCGCCCATTCCCTGTGTGCATTGAGGCGTGAATAAGTACGATTACTTTATATTCATCTGATTATTCTTATTAATCAAAATTTACCAGATTTTAAACTTCATTCACGATCACAAATCAATTGGTTTATATAGGCCCATCACTTTCAAAACTTTGTGCAAATTCTAAAGAGGAGACGTGGCTTAATTTATAATTTTTTGGTGTATTGTTTTCCAAACAATTTATAGTTCAAAGCTATCACTGCACCAAGGTGCGGCTTTTTATGCCCCGTAATGAATATGAACAGGACATTCATTGATAGTCATATGTCCGTCTTTCATCCTTTTGTCCGTCCGTCCATCCGTCTCCTTCCGTCCCGCTTTGCGTTTAGCTCTATTCAAAACCCAATTTCAAAGAAAATATCCATGATATTTTTTTTTTAATCAAATTTTATTTGCTGATAGATACTGAGGAGAGCTATTCAACTGCAACAGCATTTTTTACATTGACCTTTCATTTGACCTTGACTTGTTTTTTTCTTAAGAGTTAGTGTTTAGTTCAGTTTTAAAGAAACAATTCTGGATAGTTTTATCAAACTTCATATAATAATACATACTGATGAGAGCTATTTAACTGCAACAGCATTTTTTCACCTTGACCTTTCCCAAGACATTGACCTCAATTGTTTTTAAATCTAAGTGTTTAGCTCAGCTTTAAGGAACTCATTCAAAATATTTTTATCAACCTTCACATGCTGATACATACATGTACTGATAAGAGATATTCAACTGCATCTACATATTATAAGCTTGATCTTTCCTTGACCCCAGTTTTCTAAAGTTATTGTTTAGCTCATTTTTTTTAAAGAAATCATTCATGGTAGTAAGTGTTATCAAACTTCATATGTTGACACATACTGATAAGAGCTATTCAACTGCATCAATATTTTTTGAATTTGTTGGCCTTTCTTTTGATCTTGAACTCAGTTTTCTTAAATTAGTGTCAAACTTCATATGCTGATGCATACTGACGAAAGCTATTCAACTGCATCACCATTTTGACGTTTCATTTGACCTTGACCACACACTTCTCAATTTGTGATTTTACTCAGTTTTAAAGAAACCATAGAAAATATTTAAATTAAACTTGATAGGCTGATATGTATCAGTGAGAACGCTCCAAAATTTTTGACCTAAGTGTTTCCTTTGACCTCGACCTTTCATGTGAACTTGACCTCATTTTCCTAAAGCATATTTATGTAAGATTATGCACTTAAAATGCATTTTATTTTTTCAGAAATAACAACATGGCTAAATCTTTTTTGAATATATTTTTGAATCTATAAAGCTAATTCAAGTTTTATATACCGCAAATCTTTGAATAAATGGCTTAACAAAGATAACGTTAGAACTGTCTTTTCCATTTCTTCCAAGGAAGTTAGGGGAAAGGTATGTGATAAAATTAAGTTTTTGTGCACTTTTAAATACTTCTGTGTCCTAGATTGATAGGAAATGCATGGAAGATGCTTTTTGTGTGTTTCATTGCACCAAAAATAGGATTTCATATTCCATCATTTCAGCTAAGGAATGACGACGAGGATTATGTTTTTGAAGTGGGTTAATTAAAGTTTTTAGAATGGGTCTCATTTCTAAGTAACTATAAGCCCTATAATGACCAAACTTGCATAGATGATGCATCTAAGGATGCACACGGCTGAATTTGCTTCAGATGCTAGATCTGACCTATATCTTCTGGATGAGTGACCAGGTTAATAAAAATTTGGAGCAGATCTCATTTTTTTCTAAGTAACTGTAAGCCACAGGCACCTGTGCTGTAAGCCCTATGTTGACCAAACGTGCGTGGATGATACATCTAAGGATGTATACTACCAAGCTTACTTCAGAGCTAGATCTGACCTACATTTTCCAAAGGAGTGGGCAGGGTAAAATTTTTGTAGCAGGTTCATTATCAAGAAACTAGATGGCCTATCTGAATCAAATTTGCATAGATGATGCATCAAGGGATGAAAACTCTTGATGTTTTTCTATCAACAGAAGGCAGTAAGAATAATCTGCAGCCCCATGTGTGGATGAGACCTGCCTCCCATTACACTGCAACCATCGCTGGAAGACGTGGTAAGAATTGAGATGTACTCTTTTTTCCACTTTGACCATTTTTTACTTTATGATGCTTACTTGGTTTGGCCTTGACATCTTGACTTTCACTGACAGGATGCAGAAGAGAAGGAGCCATCCCAAGGTGCAGAAGAGGACCCAGTTCATCAGCTAGAGAGCCTGAATAGCTAAGCTTTTTGATTTATCCCTCTGTCTTTCTTTCTGTCCCCTCCTGACTCTAACAGACTAACCATCATCATTCCCATCCTCTTCTCTCTCCTTTGTTATGCCCCTTTCCCAAAGTAAGTTTCCCCTTTTGCTACTTTTTTTTGTCGAGTAATTTTTCTATTTTTGGGCTATGGGTTTTGTAATTTTCTGTCCGTTTTTGCAATTGTTTTGTGAATGTCTATTTAATTTTGCATCTGTTTTGATTTTGAACTGATTTGTTTGTCAGTTGTGTATTTTCAGGGGTTCAAATGAAGAAGGAGGACAGAAGAGGAGCTTGGCCGGCCTACAGAAGAAGAGGACTCAATTGCCCAGCTTTGAATAGAAAAGAACATTGGCCAGAGTGGTAAGAACATACTCTATTTGTTACGATTTTGATTCCCTGTTGTCTTTATTGTTACTAGATCAAAGCATTTAGGGAATTTCTGTTATAATGTTACAATAGGTAGATGCCTGGATCCCAGTGTTAAGAACAACTTGCTTGTTCGTCAGGAGGAGGGTGGGGAGGAGGGAGGGGAATTTGCTGTGGTCAAGCAGAGAAGGAAAGGTAGTACTGATATGATCACGTCTATTCTGTGTGGATTTCTTTTTCTCTTGTTCAGTTGAAATGAAGTCTGAAAATTCCTTTGACATCTTGATGTTTTTCTATCAACAGAAGGAAGTAAGAATAATCTGCAGCCCCATGTGTGGATGAGACCTGCCTCCTATGACACTGCAACCATCACTGGAAGACATGGTAAGAATTGAGATGTACTCTTTTTCCCACGTTGACCATTTTTTACTTGTTATATGATGCTTACTTGGTTTGGCCTTGACATCTTGACTTTCACTGACAGGATGCAGAAGAGAAGGAGCCATCCCAAGGTGCAGAAGAGGACCCAGTTCATCAGTCCGAGAGCCTGAATAGCTAAGCTTTTTGATTTATCCCTCTGTCTTTCTTTCTGTCCCCTCCTGACTCTAACAGACTGACCATCACCATTCCCATCCTCTTCTCTCTCCTATGTTAAGCCCCTTTCTCAAAGTAAGTTTCCCTTTTTGCTATTTTTTTTTTGTCCAGTAATTTTTCTATGTTTGGGCTATGGATTTTGTAATTTTCTATCCATTTTTGCAATTGTTTTGTGAAGGTCTATTTAATTTTGCATCTGTTTTGATTTTGAACTAATTTGTTTGTCAGTTGTGTTTTTTCAGGGGTTCAGATATGGGAGGAGGGCAGAAGAGGAGCTTGGCCGGCCTACAGAAGAAGAGGACTCAATTGCCCAGCTTTGAATAGAAAGCAACATTGGCCAGAGTGGTAAGAACATACTCTATTTGTTACAATTTTGATTCCCTGTTGTCTTTATTGTTACTAGATCAAAGCATATAGGGCATTTCTTTAACAACCTGACTCTGTGTGTTACAATAGGTAGACGCCTGGATCCCAGTGTTAGAAAAAACTTGCTTGTTCGTCAGGAGGACGGTGGGGAGGAGGGAGGGGAATTTATTGTTGACAAGCAGAGAAGAAAAGGTAGAACTGATATGATCACGTCTATTCTGTGTGGATTTCTTTTTCTCTTGTTCAGTTGAAATGAAGTCTGAAAATTCCTTTGACATCTTGATGTTTTTCTATCAACAGAAGGCAGTAAGAATAATCTGCAGCCCCATGCGAGGATGAGACCTGCCTCGTATGACACTGCAACCATCGCTGGAAGATGTGGTAAGAATTGAGCTGTACTGTTTTTCCCACTTTGACCATTTTTTACTTGTTATATGATGCTTACTTGGTTTGGCCTTGACATCTTGACTTTCACTGACAGGATGCAGAAGAGAAGGAGCCATCCCAAGGTGCAGAAGAGGACCCAGTTCATCAGCTAGAGAGCCTGAATAGCTAAGCTTTTTGATTTATCCCTCTGTCTTTCTTTCTGTCCCCTCCTGACTCTAACAGACTAACCATCACCATTCCCATCCTCTTCTCTCTCCTTTGGTATGCCCCTTTCCCAAAGTAAGTTTCCCCTTTTGCTACTTTTTCTCGAGTAATTTTTCTATTTTTGGGCTATGGGTTTTGTAATTTTCTGTCCGTTTTTGCAATTGTTTTGTGAATGTCTATTTAATTTTGCATCTGTTTTGATTTTAACTAAATTGTTTGTCAGTTGTGTATTTTCAGGGGTTCAGATGAGGGAGGAGGACAGAAGAGGAGCTTGGCCGCCCTACAGAAGAAGAGGACTCCATTGTCCAGCTTTGAATAGAAGGGAACATTGGCCAAAGTGGTAAGAACATACTCTATTTGTTACAATTTTCATTCTGTGTTGTCTTCATTGTTACTAGATCAAAGCATTTAGGGTTTTTCTTTAAAAACCTGACTCTGTGTGTTACAATAGGTAGATGCCTGGATCCCAGTATTAGGAACAACTTGCTTGTTCGTCAGGAGGAGGGTGGGGAGGAGGGCGGGGAATTTACTGTTGACAAGCAGAGAAGGAAAGGTAAGACTGATATGACCAAGTCTATTCTGTGTGGATTTCTTGGTCTCTTGTTCGGTTGAAATGAAGTCTGAAAATTTCTTTGACATCTTGATGTTTTTCTATCAACAGAAGGCAGTAAGAATAATCTGCAGCCCCATGTGTGGATGAGATATGCCTCCCATTACACTGCAACCGTCGCTGGAAGATGCGGTAAGAATTGAGATGTACTCTTTTTCCCACTTTCACTATTTTTTACTTGTTATATGATGCTTACTTGTTTTGGCCTTGACATCTTGATTTTCACTGACAGGATGCAGAAGAGAAGGAGCCATCCCAAGGTGCAGAAGAGGACCCAGTTCATCAGCTGGAGAGCCTGAATAGCTAAGCTTTTTGATTTATCCCTCTGTCTTTCTTTCTGTCCCCACCTGACTCTAACAGACTAACCATCACCATTCCCATCCTCTTCTCTCTCCTTTGTTATGCCCCTTTCCCAAAGTAAGTTTCCCCTTTTGCTATTTTTTTTTTGTCGAGTAATTTTTCTATTTTTGGGCTATGGGTTTTGTAATTTTCTGTCCGTTTTTGCAATTGTTTTGTGAATGTCTATTTAATTTAGCATCTGTTTTGATTTTAACTAAATTGTTTGTCAGTTGTGTATTTTCAGGGGTTCAGATGAGGGAGGAGGACAGAAGAGGAGCTTGGCCGCCCTACAGAAGAAGAGGACTCCATTGTCCAGCTTTGAATGGAAGTCAACATTGGTCAAAGTGGTAAGAACATATTCTATTTGTTACAATTTTGATTCTCTGTTGTCTTTATTGTTACTAGATCAAAGCATTTAGGGTTTTTCTTTAACAACCTGACTCTGTGTGTTACAATAGGTAGATGCCTGGATCCCAGTGTTAGAAAAAACTTGCTTGTTCGTCAGGAGGAGGGTGGGGAGGAGGGCGGCGAATTCACTGTGGACAAGCAGAGAAGGAAAGGTAAAACTGATATGATCAAGTCTATTCTGTGTGGATTTCTTTGTCTCTTGTTCAGTTGAAATGAAGTCTGAAAATTTCTTTGACATCTTGATGTTTTTCTATCAATAGATGGCAGTAAGAATAAACTGCAGCCCCATGTGTGGATAAGACCTGCATCCCATTACACTGCAACCTTCGCTGGAAGACGTGGTAAGAATTGAGATGTACTCTTTTTCCCACTTAAAACCATTTTTCACTTGTTATATGATGCTTACTTGGTTTGGCCTTGACATCTTGACTTTCACTGACAGGATGCAGAAGAGAAGGAGCCATCCCAAGGTGTAGAAGAGTACCCAGTTCATCAGCCGGAGAGGCTGATAGCTAAGCTTTTTAATTCATCCCTCTGTCTTTCTTTCTGTCCTCTCCTTACTGTAACAGACTTACCATCACCATTCCCAACCTCTTTTCTCTTCTTTATTAAACCCTTTACCTAGGTAAACCTCTCCTTTTTCTCACTTGTTCCTGAATAATTTTTTTAATAATTGCTAAGGTTTATGTGAATATCTATTTCTGAAATTGGTTTTTTTTTATGCTGTACTAATGTATTCTCAGTTGTGTATTTTCAGGGGTTCAGATGAGGGAGGAGGACAGAAGAGGAACTTTGGCGGCCTAAAGAAGAAGAGGACATTTATGCGCAGCTATGAGTAGAAAGTAACATTGGTCTGAGTGGTAAGAATACATTGTACATGTTGTATTTGTTCTAATTTGATTTCCTGTTGTTGTTTTTAAGTTGATCAAAGCATGTAGGATATTTCTTTAACATCCTCACTGTGTGTGTTAATATGAGGGTATCTTGATCTTAATTATAGGAATAACATCCTTGTATGTAAGGAGGAGGGAGGGAGCAGGGTGTGGAAATAGCTGCAAACAAACAGAGAAGAGAAGGTTATATTCACTTTTTAAAGTCTATCCTGTCTGGATTTCTTTGTCTTGTTCAGTTGATATGGTCTTTAAAGTTATTTAACATGTTGAGTTATTTCTTTCAACAGAAAGCAGTTTAGATGACTTTCAGCCACCACTGAAGACGAAACCCGCCACCCATTTAACTGCGGTCATCCTTGGAAGATGCGGTAAGATTTGAGATGTTCTCCCTATCCACTTTCCCAATCTTTTCCTTCAAAATATACTACTTGACACCATATCTATCTACAATGAATTAGTTGTTGATTACGTATAGCCACCAAACGATGGCGATCCACTCCAATCACTATTTAAGGAAAAAAATGAACACTGAAGGATGAAGGTTCGTGAGGGGAGTATCGGACCAGAAATTCTTCGCTAACAAAGATGATATGACAAAAATTATCTTGTCTAGATTTCTTTGGCTTTTGTCTTGTTGTTATGAAGTCTTTGCATTCATTTGACATTTTATTTTTTCTATTACTGATAGTGGTAAGGATGATCTGCAACCACTGGTCTGGACGAGTCTCCACTCCCATTCAATTGCAGCAAAGATTAGAAAATGAGGTAAGTTTTTTAAGTTCTACTTTCTTTACAATTAATTTTCACATCTTTTACTCGCGAATTTAGTTTTGTCAGGTATGGACAACCTCCTTTAGGTATACTGCTATATTTAATGTTTGTTGGGTTGATTCTGCAGTTAACTTCTATCTTTTTGATTAGCAGAAAATGAAGAGAGAGGAACTCCGGAGAATAATAAAGATGCATTCATTACTGAGCCAACAAAGGACATAAAGCACAGAAAATATGCTTATGTAATGGACTTGAAGAATCCGATTGAAAATGCTGATAAAAAGGAGAGCATTTGAACTTCATCTGGTCTTCATGATCCAGGAATCACCTCACCAGAACACCATCGAATGTACCTGAACAACTGAGGTAAAAAGACCTTGAACTTGAACTACTGAAGTAAGAGAAATCAACAGGAGACCTTAATTAAAATTCTTGCCATATGGAATCAGGACTTTACCTAAAATTCTTGCTATATGGAATGTGTGTCGATGACGATTTACAACAAAGATCGAAGATGGTATCTACTTTTCAACAGTTCATATAAGAATGGTGGATAATCAAGCCAAAACGGTTTTTACTGATAATCGAAAGGTGGTGTGAAACAAAAGAAACAGTTTACATCACTTTTATTATTTATTTTGGAATCGAGGAAGAACAAACTAAAAACAACAAAGGTTTACTCAAGTCAAAAGCAAAAGTACATTTAGAATAAAAGACCCACAATTAACCACGATTATTTACTTTAACTCAGAAATTGAAACCAACTATGTTAATAATTTAGTATCATTTCAGAATATTCATTTTTGAAGTTGATAAAGTCTAACTTCTTATTAAGAATATGTTTTTAGTGATAAATATTTTCTCCTTCACCCTTTTTCTTCATTAATTTTATTGAATTCCAAAGTTGACCTAACATTGTTTCTTCATTTATGTACCAAGTACATATCTTTGTCTCGATTTTGCTGTCGTTTGAACAATTTTTTTTTACATTTCATGTTGTTTAGATATTTGTTTAGCTGTATTTTGATCAGTACATGTCTGAACATTTATGCTTTGAGCGATTTTTTTTTTATTTTTAGGATAACTTAAATTTTTTTTAAATATTTTAGTTTGTCTTAGTATTTATATGTTCTATTTTTTTCTTCAGAACAATTTTAATTTTTATGCGCCCGGATCGATAGATCCGAGGCGTATATTGTTTTTGTCCTGTCTGTCTGTCTGTCTGTCCATTTGTTTGTCTGCAAACTTTAACCTTCGCCATAACTTTTGAACCATGAAAGGTAGAAACTTCATATTTGGTATGCATACTTCACTAATTAGGTGCTTTCAAATGACACCAATATTAATGACCTTTTGACCTTGACCGTGACCTATATGCTAAAAAAAAAGCTTCTCTCTTTGCAAACTTGAACCTTCGCTATAACTTTTGAACCTTGAAAGATAGAGATTTGATATTTAGTATGTATACTACACTAATAAAGTTCTTTCAAATGACACAAAGGTCAATGACCTGGTGACCTTGCCTGTCACCTCTATGCTAAAAATAGCTTTTTCGTACCTTCACCATAACTTTTGAACCATAAAAGATAGAGACTTCATATTTGGTGTGCATACTCCACTAATCAAGTTCTTTCAAATGACACCAAGGTTACTGACCTTGTGACCTTGACTGTTACCTATGCTAGTATGCTAAAAATAGCTTTTTCGATTTTTGTTGCCACCGGGCGCCTAGTGTTTCACAAACACATCTTGCTTAAAAATGTTTTAAGATTTTTCAAAGTTATTTAAGCTTAATAGCTATGGACATTTTTTATTAGATCAACGCTTGTCTTCGTATTTAATCTTCAAAGAACTGAACTGATATTAATATTTCAGCTTAAAAGCAATAGGGATATTTTTATCAGTGTTTCTATAAATACCTTAGATTTTAAATAAGAAGGTATATTGTGCTATCACTGATATTCACATGTAAATGTGAGGGAGGTATTTTTTGCTTGCTTGAAAATTTGATTTAAAAAATGAGGGAGTCTGAGTATTTAAGTTTAAATATAAGGGAGTATTTTTGTCTAAGTATAACGTGCCATTTTAAATGAAAGGGAGGTATTTAGTTCTTGCCTGAATATCCAAGCTAGATAAAACATGTTATCTAAATGCTTAGGAAGTATTTAGAGCTTCCATACATATTAAAGTATAAAAATGAGGGAGTTTTTAAAAAGTTATTTCCTGAGTAATAACACTTAATTTTAATACAGTTTTAGTGCTTGTCTGAGCATTTGATTTATAAAAAAAATTGCTGTTTGCCCTAGGTATAAACACTTTATTTTAAATGCAATAGAGGTATACGCATTTAGTTCCTGCTTGAATAGACAAACTTAAAAGCTGCTTGCCTAAGTGATAATTTATTTTTTATCTTATCTTATTTTAAATGCAAGGGAGGTATTTAGAGCTTAAAATGAGAAAGGGTTTATTTTTTTCTCCTGATTTTAAACACTTATGTTTAAATACGAAGGAGGTAATTTGTACTTGCCTCAATATTTAAGTATGTAAGCCTAAAAGTATATAGTGCTTGCTTAAGTAATAACATCTTATTTAAAATGTGGGGGAGGTATTTAGTGATTAAAATGAGAGAGCATTTATATTTTTTTTTAATTTTAAACACTTCACTTTAAATGCGAGGGAGGCAATTAGTACTTGCCTTGATATTTAAGCTTGTAAGCTTAAAAGTATGCAGTGCTTGCCTAAGTATAGTAACATCTTATTTTAAATGCAAGGGTGATATTTGTAGCTTAAAATGAGAGAGTATTTTTTCCTGATTTAAAGCACTTCATTTTAAATGCGAAGGAGTTATTAAGTACTTGTCTTAATATATTTTAGCTTGTAAACTTAAAAGTATATAGTGCTTGCCTAAGTAATAACATCGTATTCTATATCCCAGGGAGGTATTTAGAGCTTGAAATGAGAGGGGTGATTTAGAGCTTGTATGTATATTTAGGCTTCAATGTGGGGAAGTATTTTTAAATGCGAGCGAAGTATTAAGTGCTTATCTAAATTGTTCGGCTTAAAAATGAGGGAGTATAGTATTAGTTTGTGCTTGTCTGAGTATTTGGGATTTTTTTTATTTGAGTCAGATTGAGGAAGTATTTATTATTTTATTTGAATTTAAACGTGGGGAAATATTTTCAAATCCAAGCGAAGTATGTAGTGCTTATTTTAAATTTTTCAGCTAAGAAATGAGGGAGTATTAATTTATACTTGTCTGAGTAATTAAGATTTTTTATTTGAGGCAGATTAAAGGAGTATTTATTATTTTGTTTGAATTTAAACATGCTATTTTAAATGCAAAAGGGGTATTTTGTACTTGCTTTGAATATTCAGGCTTAAGGGATTAAATTTGTGAGTATTAGTATTGAGAGCTTGCATAAATATTTTAGCTTTAAAATTAGAGTTTATTAATTTTTTCAAGTGTAAAACACTTAATTCTAAATGCGAGGGGTGTATTATGTGCTTGTTCGAGTATTAAAGCATGAAAATGAAGTGTATATTCTTTGCACGAATATGAACACTTTACTCTAAATGCGAGGGGGGAGGGGGGTTATGTAATATTTGACTATTTAAGTTCAAGAATGAGGGGGTACCGGTATTTATTTGGTCTGAATATAAACACTTTATTCTGTATGGTACATTTAGGGGTCCGGAGGTGCCTTAATATTGAAGCTAATAAGTTTAAGAGTATATTCTACTTGCCTGAGTATTAACACGTTATTTTAAATTCAGGGGTGGGGTGGTTGTTAGAGCTTTTATGAATATATAGGCATAAAAATGAAGGAGGATTTTTTTCTGAGTATAAAGAATTTATTTTAAATGCGAGGGAGGTATTTAGTTTTTATCAGAATACCGGGTATCTAAGTTTAAAAAAAAAAAAAACGAATAAGTATTTACTATTTATTTACTATTAACATTCTAGATTAAATGCGAGGGAGGTATTTAATGTCGACCTGTATATTTATTTACAAACGAAAGAGAACTTTTACAAACGAGATATTTAACTTACGTCCGAAAATATAAGCTGAAATGTGAGAAACTCACGTTCTACTTGCTGAATATTAAAGCTAAAAATTGAAAAGGGAGTCGTCCGAATTAAGACATATGCAAAAAAACCTGCTCTCTTAATATTTTTTTCCCGAAGATTTAAGTTTTTTTTAAAATTGTGTATTTTCTTACACTGGAGGTAATTTTTTTTTCTCTATATTTTTTTTAAAGGGAGTTTGATGCATTTTGATAATGTTTAGTATGAAGACTGATCAGTGCACTTCCTCTCATTTTTCAGAGGAACAAAATGGCAGGAGATATCTCAAAGGCCATAAAAACCTCCCTCAGTTCCTCAATTTTGCAATGATCAATGAAAGGTTTGACTTCTTTCTGAATCAACAGATGTTATCCTTGCATACAGTTTTATACTAAGACAGCATTATTTTTTATTATCTATGGGTTTTTTTACTTCATCATATAATGGGTAATTTGTGTGCTTTAAATCGATTGCCATTTTCCGTTTTTTCTCTCAATTTATAAAGCAACATTTATTTTGGGGTTTTTTTTCTTTATAAACCTGCAAAATTTTACAAAAACTGAAAGAAAGATAACGAACAATGGTCCATCTCATTAGAAAACTTATAGGCAATACAAATCTGTGGAACGGACACAAAAGACGGACCCTCGGAAAAGTAAAAAGTGGTATTAGGTGTCTAGGAGGAGTCTCGTGGGCTGGTCACATCGGCCATGAGCCCCATGTTTTCGTAAAATGGACGCAATATTCCGTAGTCAAATTTATCTGTACAAAGAAAAGCCGAATAATTGGCATCAAATATGGCAGTCAAAATAAGCATCGAACTTACCCAATATATGATATATTTAAAGTAAAATATTCTCTCTTTCCCTTATTTATTTTTTTTAAGTTGTGGATTTTTATTTTTCTATCCTTTTCTTTAAAGTAAAATA